CTAAAGCAACCACTTTTGATTCATCAAGCAAAGAGAGTAAAAGGATTGCTGAGGCGATTACTCAACTGATGGACTGTGCTCTTCATCAAATTATATCATTACAGCTGATGACATTCGCAAGTAGGGTTTGCACTCCCCAGCCTGCCCTCCTCACCTTTTTGCCTACAGTGACTTAACCTTCCTGAGCAGATGAATTTCTGATGACTGGCACTGATTCATTTTGCAGGTCACTTATCTTCTTGGTTTCATTTGGGTTTCTCTATCCGTGCCAACAGAAAGCGGCATTGGAGCATCCGCAGGAAGCCTAAGACTGGACTGTTCACGGAACTAAAGCTAACTGCTATTAGGGACCCAACTCATAATGATGATTCAAGTGCAGAGAAGCTTGATAATGGATGGGGACATCAAACTTCTGATGACAGATCTTGCAGTGATGTTAGGAAGTGTAACCGGATGACAGATCGTGCGGTGATGTTAGGAAGTGTAACCGGAGGAAGCAATTGTTGCAGGTTGATAAGAGCCATAGACCTGCATTTTATGGCATCTGGCCTAAGAAAAGGTAAGCTCCTCTCTCATAGGATTGTATCATGCTACTCAATATAAAGACAGAAGAGTTTAGGGAGTGTAGTGATTTCTACTGGAAGTGCTTAAATGATTACACTATTTAGTATGTCTTCTCTGGTAATTATGGTTAGGCCACTATTCTCTGTTTTCTAGAAAGATTTCTATGTAATTATTGAATTTATTTTCAGTGTTAGTGGAATAAACACATTAACTCTCATTCATTTTGTTTCATATTTTATTATAAATCACTGCTTTTGTTATGCAAAATGCCTATGTCTTAAATTCAAAGATTCAAGGGCAAAATGCTTTGTCTTTTAAAGAAAAAGTAATCCTGTTTGATGAGGTGAAGTTAAGGGTGTAAAGCTTGGTGTATTTTTGGAAGCTCCAGGTGCAAAAGCCCCCGCCCCCCACCCATTTTCATTAAATCTTGTAAACCTTACATTTGATGGTGTTTGGTCAACATCTTGTTATTAGTACCTGCTCTATCTTTTGAGCTAATTGCCTAAAGCCACGGCTTTTTTAATTTTTTTCCTCAGGTTTTGTTGCCTTATAGAGTTCTTGTATTTTAAACTGCTTGCTTTACCTTGTTTGGGTATGTTCATGCCTTGCTATTAGTGCCTAGGTTCTCCAAGACCTTTGTGCTTAAGGCACCTAGGGCTATTAAGACAGTGTTTTTGTCTGCTTGGTTGCAAGAGGTGGAAATTCAATGCTATTTTTTGTTTTTTTTTCAGGCTGTCCTATCTGTAATGTTTAGGTCCATACCAATTGTGAACTCGTGTTGATTTTCCAGTGAATGTAAATTGTAGGTTTAGTGTCATTTTCTTGTCAATCCTCACCATTGAAGGTATTGATTAGAAACTTGGGCTGCATTTGGTTATGTGTTAATGGACTGTTATGCTATTTTTTCAGTCATGCTGTTGGACCGTGCCATCCATTCAGGAGGGATCCAGACTTAGATTATAACGTTGACAGTGATGAAGAATGGGAAGAGGTACTGAGTTTTCTATTCAAAGAACAACTGGAATTGAAACTATGATTTACTGATGATATTGTTGTTCTGCAGGAGGATCCTGGTGAACGCCTCTCGGATTGTGATAAGGATGATGGAGAAGAAATCTTAGAGGAAGAATATTCAAAAGCTGATGAAGAAGAAGAGAGTGAAGATGGTTTTTTTGTACCTGATGGGTATCTCTCAGAAAATGAGGTAATAAAATGAGATTCTGGGGTAATTCTGGAGTTGGAACTTGCTTTACTGGGCTATAGTTGTTCGATGCAATCCATAAGTCTGAGTTGCTGACATAAAATGACAATGACTCAGATAATTTCATGCATCCCCGTCTCTGGATTGCATCCAGTGTTCCTTTCATAGTATCTGGAATTGATGACCCATAAGCACGTAACTGCATAAAGACCTATTAAGCTAGATGTTTAATGGTCAAAATTGACAATCCCTCCTCTCTTTTCAAGTGCATTTAATGCTTCCTTGCTTTAAGGCACTGACCTCTGCACAACTATCAGTGCACCTGCTATGCAGTAGCATTTAGGTTTTCAAAGCAATTTAAACTTATGTCAAATCTTAACTCGTCCAGAGGCCACCAGGAGAACCAATAGCCATAAACTTTTATTGTAGCCAAGGGAAATGCTTGTTTATGAAATTTTAATTGCCTTTTAAATGCAGGGAGTACAGCTTGACAGAATGGACACTAATCTGTCAGTGGAGGAGGCCAGAAGCTCACCTTGTTGCAAGCAAGACTTACAGAGTGAGGAGTTCTGTACATTGCTGAAACAGCAGAAATATTTGAACAATTTCACCGATAATGCCCTTAGGAAAAATCATCCCTTGATTATGTTGAATCTAATGCATGAGAAGGATGCATTCTTAGTGGCTGATGATCTTGGTGACATTCCTAAAGTTGAAAAAAATGTGTTTGCAAGCACTCAGCATCCGAGCATTCCCTGGTGGACCGCAAATGGAGATATCCTTGGATGTGTCACCTGAAAATCATGATGATTGCCTGTCAAATGCCAAGCCCAGTGCTACACTTATCCCAACTATGATTACTCTACAAGACTCAGATATGCCTTTAGTCGTAAGTTGTGCTTTTGAATTGTGTTAAGCATACCTCCTAAGATTTCTGACAGTATGCATTAATAATAATCTGGACATGTTTATAGTTTGCCTTCAATTATGTTATGACTGCGGCCCATGGTTTGCAGCTTACTGTAATCGTTATGAATTTTCAGGTGCTCGCTATTCAGTCTTGCTCGCAAAGTATGAATAAAGTGGTTGAATCACTGCATCAGAAATCCCCCCGTCTTAAAGTCGCAATTAAGAAACAAAATTCGTGAGATGTCAGATTTTGTGGGTAATCGTTGGCAGGTTAATGGCTTTCTGAAATATTGTATCATTCCCATTTTACAGATGAGGATCTACCTGTTAAGGACACTAATGATGTTTTGATTATTGATAAAAGCTTTTGATTATTGAAATTATTTACGCACGTCCTTTAACAGTCTGGACCTCTGTTCAATGGTTCAATAAAAAGAAATACCTTAGTTCAGCATCACCCAATTCTTCTTGGTTTATGGATTTAGGGTGTTGGCGTTATAAGAAAGAAGTTTTGGACGGGGTTGGCGTTAGAATTTCACCAGGTATGTATGCGTTCATGTCTTCAGCGAGTTAAATCTTGTTGCGATACTCTATTACTAAAACCCTTGTTCTTTTTAATGAGCAGAAAAGCTCGACTCCTAATGGGTAAAAGGGCAGAGGATGAAAGACATTTCTATATTCTGTTGAGAGGTGCTTGCCTCATGCTGGTAAAAGCTCGACTCCTAATGGGTCCTCGCCTCCTTCGCTTAAACATGGTTTAGTTGCTGAGGGGCCAGCAAATATGCATGGACGGCCATCCATGGCCTTCTTTTCTGGATCATCTTTGGCCTTTCAGTTTTTTCTCCTCAAAATTTTCCCCACATTTTGGCCACTTTCTGTGGCATGTAATTACAAATCATCTCAAGAAACTCAGCATTAGTAAAGTTCTTGTTGTAAATCATACAGTTGAATATAAGGTGATAAAGCTTTTGGCTTAACCAGTACCTTGATCTTGATGAATATTCAAGTAGGCTAAAGACTCTGGTGAAACAATCTTATTTGAAAACCCGACAACTTCTGTGTTCTAAAAAGGTTTTCACAAGACTGACTTGTGTTTGAAACATGCATTTCGGATAATAGAGTTAGTGGGTTTTTCTCTCTAAAAGTCCATGGATGCTCTGGTAATATTCTACTATATGTTGTTCAGAAAGATACTGGTATTCTTGGTGCATTGTATAAAAATTACCGTATCAAATAATACAAAGGAAGCTATCTGAGAAGAAAAAAAATGCTATTCGGATATATTCTGTAATCACCCATTTATTTTATATAATAATTTTATTGATATTAAATTTTTATTAGCTTTATTGTATAAGTTTGTATTTAAGAATAATTACTTTATCAAAACTTCATCTTATCAACTTAAAAAAATTCGTTCACATATTTCTAAACTTCTAGAAAAAAAAATTAACAATTCAACTCAGTATTCGGGCAATGTGATTTTATTACCATGATTTAATCACCATTTCCAAATTATATAGGGTAGAATATTCTTTTAGCTTTTCTGCATGTAGCTACTCCCTAAACAAAAAATCATTAAAGCTTTCTTCCAGTGGCTTTTTAGTCCTTTTCATTTTTATCACATTAAAATTACTTAATTATAAAAAAATATACTAAATTATTTTCTAGGGCCGTTCCGTTTTTTTCATCATGGTTTTTTAGTTAATATTAAATTAACTCAAGTATATAATTGCAGTTTATTTTCACAAAATTATTGTTTAATAAACGATGTAATGATATTTAAAATCATAAACAATGCACAATGAAAGAAGTATTAAAAATAAATGCTAGAACTGCAACATAGAAAAAGGACAATTTATTGTAGGTTACAATAATTATTTTTTTATATTAAATTAATTTTACATTGAGTTTGATATTTTGTTTCATTAACTTTATATATAGCTTTAATTATATTAAAAATAAATTTCAACTCTATATACCCAATTTTAAATTCTAATAAATTTTCAACGTTTTTTTTTTTTGGAAAACAGCGTCTTTATCTTAACTTCTAGATAATTTTTTAACAACGCATGCATATTAAATTTTTCAGTTCATAGTTAATTTTTTCTATGAAAAAGTAACGTTAACAATGCCTTTTTAAAAAAAAAAATTGAAGAAAAATGCGCCATCCCACGTAAATGCACAAAAAATCAAACCAGCAAAAATAGATATAAATTAGTTGACTAAAATCGAGTGCAGTAGAAAAAAAACATGCAACACTTTAATTTTCACATGTATCTCTGAAAAAAAATTAAATGCTCAAAATTCTCTCTGTACAAGGCATCTCCCAACGCTGCCCCACCCAACTCCATCCTCAACGTCTCTTCCTCCTCCTCCTTCCCAGACACACAGTATAAGCAAAGCTCAAAAAAAAATGGCTCTCAAGCTGAACGTGGTAGCCATGCCGTCCCACAATCTCAAGTCTGCCAAAGTATTTGCAGCCTCCACCATGCAGTGCTCCCCTACTAGGTGAGTTCCTATCTACTCTCTTCTTCTTCTTCCTCCTTATTTTCCTTTATCTGATCCTTTTATTTTTCTTCCTTCAACTCTCTGATTATACTAAACTTGTCAGTTTTCTCAACAAAAACGAAACTTCATCTATCTGGGGTGTTATTTAAGGCTAAATGTCCGTGATATATATCTGGATAAATCATCCTGATCCACTCCTACTATATTTGTTGACCACTACAAATATTAATGTAATGGCCTTCCAAATTAAATGGGTCAACCTTTGTTTTGGTTATATTGTTTCATTTCTTGAATTGCTTTTTCTTCCAAAGTTAATTATATGTAGCCAGCAAAGAACATGATCTATAATCACCATAGGCGGAGAAATGTAGAAGGCTGAGATAGCCTAGGTAGAAAAATAAGTTAATGTTTAAAATTTTAATTTATACATGATAAATGCAATGCAGTAATTAATAAGTTTTTTTAAAAAAAAATTAGTGCTCTAATGGGTTTAAATTAATTTTTTTAAATGTATTCTCATGACAACTCCGATTTAGCATTAATAAGTTTTTTTAAAAAAATTTAGTGCTCTAATGGGTTTAAATTAATTTTTTTAAATGTATTCTCATGACAACTCCGATTTAGCATTAATATTCCCATCTAATATTATTTAAAATTGTAAAATAATTCTTAGTAAATAACCAAAATGCATAACTCAGTAAAAACCTAGTTAAGATATTGAATTTTTTTATTAAGTTTTTATATAAATAATCTATCTTTTATCCAATAAATTAATAAGAATATCTTACAAAAAAATAAAATAAAAATATATTCTTTCCTTTTATATTTAGTATTTTAAAAAATATAAATTTATTTTGGATTTCACAATACACGGACTAAAAAATTTTAATTGGTATATATTATGGTATTAAAAGAACGATGTTATTAAAGATATTAATCTTGATTTAGTTAAAATTTAAAAAATGAATCAGTTTCCTCGTGATATCTATTAACTAAATATTGTTAATATATTTATTAAAAATTAATTATTTTATACAGTAATTTACAAGATTTTATAATAAATTCTCTTATAAAATATAAAAGATAAATATTAATTAGAAAGATAAAATTATTATTAACAAGTAACCTAAATAAGATACTAGTGAAATCCTCATTAAGAAAATTGAATATTTTTCATTAAGTTTAGATATATGAATAGTCTATCTTTTATTAGGTAAAAAAAATATTATCTTCTTGAAAAAAATAGAGAACTACTATTTGTGAAATTGAAAATTGATTTAATTATATGCTAGATTTGATTTTCTCCTTGCATGTGTGTAATTTATTTACACATAATATGAGATTGACACACCATATATAAATGCTTCATATAAAAAGACTACAAGTTATTTATATCAATAACAAAAACTAGTGACAGTTTACTAACATTATTATTGTTATGATATATTTAACTCAATAATAAATTTTTAGCATGAATAATTAAATTTTAGATTCAGTGATGGGATAATGAAACGTCTTGTACTTAACTATGCTTTAAAATCTAAGAACAACTTTAAATCATTTAAAATTGATGCTATTTGCAAGCTTGCTAAAAAAATTTATCATGAAAATTTTAATGAATAAAAAATGTATTATTTGAGATCTCAGATAAAACATTATTATATTAATATGATATATCATAAGAACTTTTAAAATCTCCTTACCATTTCTGAATTAAGTCGATGATTAGTTAAAATAAATAAATCATAGCACCATTATTTGATTGGCAAATTGATTCATCTTGTTTTGACTTTATTTGTTTTTATTGGCACTATAAAAAGAGTATTTTAAGCAATAAAACATGTTAAAAATTTGTTTTGTAATAAAATAAAAGATGAGTTTTTGATATATTTTATAATAATTTACATTAAATGAGAGCTTGCTAAAAATATTAATTCGGATTAGATCATTAATGAATTTCATTCCATAAAATATGTAAAGGTGCAATTTTGATAATGTAATTTATTTTTATTTTTTTAATTTTATATATTTTAATTTTGAATTAAAACTTTATTATTACCTTGAAAAATTTATATATATATATATATATAAATTAATAATTAATCTCATAAAATAATTTATATATATCTTTTTGACAGCTTAGGATAAGAAAAATTTCTAGCTGCGTCCTTGATAGTCACATAACCCTTAACATTAGAGAAGAAGATTAATTCTTGAAGTCGAGACTCGAGACCGACCCTGGTCCTTAGGGAATAATTGCTACTCAACCACCTTCTAACTCGAAGGGCGCTAGCAATTATATATTTTTTAAAAAAAATTAGAGAGACTGGCTCAACTGATCAACTGCATGCCTGTGAGTTGGGAGCTGGGACACCTTAAAAACCCAGTTGCAGACTGCTGTTTATGGATTTTTAATGCAGTGGCCCTTGCCACCCAAAAACACCACAGACATTTAGATAATAATGTCGGTACAGTTGGCTTGTTGCATGCATGGTTCCAGCTTGTAGAGTACTGATATTGATACTGTAAGGCCAGGGTCTATTAATATCACACTCCAGTACTGAGGTCTTTGGTTTTAAAATTTTAGTCGACACAGACTGAGTAAATGATGCCACAGCTTCCTCTTTAAAGAAACAAGAACCTGTTTTGCCAACTGCATGCAAACACTCATTTCAGGTATCTGATGTTGAATATGTAAAAACTTTGCAAGTTGCCGGAAAGGGAATGCTAGATTATTTTTTTCAACGTACATAGAGGGAGGGCTTATCTTTTTTAAAGAAAGTGCTTCGAAATCAAAACAATTAAAGATTTGGTTTGGATACGCTTTCAAGGTGTTTATTACTGAGTAAATGATGCCACAGCTTCCTCTTTAAAGAAACAAGAACCTGTTTTGCCAACTGCATGCAAACACTCATTTCAGGTATCTGATGTTGAATATGTAAAAACTTTGCAAGTTGCCGGAAAGGGAATGCTAGATTATTTTTTTCAACGTACATAGAGGGAGAGCTTATATTTTTAAAGAAAGTGCTTGGAAATCAAAACAATTAAAGATTTGGTTTGGATACGCTTTCAAGGTGTTTATTTGTCTATGTAGAGACAACATATCTAAGGATAAAACTAACCCCCTCATATCATGAAGAAATAATAAAAAAATATGTTTGTTTTTTTTTTTTTTTTTGTGTGTGTGTCTAGTAAGTTTATATAGGCTTGAAATATTTATGAATGTTAATAAAATAATTATAATTTGAATTAAATTGAATAATTTTTTTTGGTATTTTTTTTTTTGTGTAGTAGTAGATTTATATAATCTTGAAATATTATAACTGTTAACATTATGACTTTTAATAAAACAATTATATTTTGAATTAAATTAAATATTTATTATTCAATTTTATCTAAATATCCATAAAAATATCCATAAATATCAAAATTAATTACAAAAATTAAATATATATATATATATATCAAAACTAATTACAAAAAAAAGATAATATTTAATCTCACTAACACATTAAGATTCATGTGTTCAAGTACCGAGTGTCATTTTAAAAAAGCTTATTCATTATAATTTCTATTTAATTTACTATATATGTCCATTATACATTAACTTAACATTAATGCATCAAACGAATCCCTTTTTATTTTATTCAATTAGATCGACCGAATATATATTAATTTGTCAATAATCTTAAGCATCTAGATAGGAAATTAATTGTTAAATAATATTCCTATATATATATATATATATATATATATATATATCAATTTGATTTGATTTATTTATTTATTATTATTTTAGTTTATTATGTTTCTTGAATATATTATCCTGGATTTTACGTTTAGAATATACAACATACTTGTAAGACATCACATATTTAAAATTTAATTTGTAAGAAAAAAAACTAGTAAAAAGATGTAAGTGTAAACAGAAGGCTAAATATAAAAACAAGATTTTATCAGTAAAAGAATATTTTAAAAAAATGATTTATCTATGATATTTATAGTAAAAGAAATAAAAACTTCTTTTAATTTTTTCAGGAAAATCAAAAATTAAAAAACATTCTTTTAAATTATGAATATTAAGAATTTCTTTTTAATTAAAAATACATGAAAATATGAAAATTTTCTTTAAGATTCTTAGTCAAAATATAAATAAATAAAAATTTAAAATTATTCTTTCTTTTAACTGAAAATAATAGTTTTAATTTTGTTTAATGAGTTAAAGCAATCTATCTGTTTAAGCCTCAATAGTTAGACCATGGCTGTCTGTTTGACAGGCTCAAGATTGTAACTGAAGCACAAAAAAATTGAAGCTGTTCATCTATAATTTGTGTCCAGCTGCAAATTAAACATTATCCAGATTATATTTTATGATCGTATGATGTATACTAGCATTCTAGCAAAGGAAAGCAAAGGCAAAAACGACACATTCTAAGTCTATTTTATTCACTGGTTTTAGAGGGTCGGAGAGTACACAGAGGGACTCCTATCGGCCTGCCAAAGAAGTCCATTTTCAAGTGACGCATTCCATGCCACCAGAAAAGATTGAGATATTCAAGTCTATGGAGAGTTGGGCTACGAAGAACATCTTAACGCATCTAAAGCCTGTTGAGAAATCGTGGCAACCGCAAGATTTCCTGCCACAAGCTGACTCCGAAGGATTCTATGAACAAGTGAAGGAATTGAGGGAAAGATCAAAAGAACTTCCTGATGACTACTTTGTTGCTTTGGTGGGAGATATGATCACAGAAGAAGCACTTCCAACGTACCAGACAACACTTAACACGCTGGATGGAGTCAGGGACGAGACTGGTGCATCACTATCTCCTTGGGCAGTTTGGAATAGAGGATGGACTGCTGAAGAGAACAGGCATGGTGACCTTCTCAACAAGTATCTTTACCTATCTGGACGAGTGGACATGAGACAGATTGAGAAGACAATCCAGTATTTGATAGGGTGTGGAATGGTAACGTTGTCCATTGATTTAAATATCCTTGTTTTTTTCCATGCTAGTTGTCATCAAGGACACTGGAACGTGCATGTGCACAACTAGTATTCAATAATTGAATCTCTTCTTTTTGTCTGTGTTTCTTATAGGATTTCAAATTTGAGAACAACCCGTACAACTGCTTCATTTACACATCATTCCAAGAGAGGGCAACATTCATCTCTCATGGCAACACAGCTAGACTAGCCAAGAGATATGGGGATGCGAAGCTAGCACAAATATGCGGCACCATTGCTGCAGATGAAAAGCGCCATGAAATTGCATACACCATGATTGCGGAGAAGTTGTTTGAGATTGACCCAGATACTACTATTCTGGCCTTAGCCGACATGATGAGGAAAAAAATCGCTATGCCAGCCCTCTTGATGTACGATGGTCAGGATGATAACCTTTTCGAGAACTTCTCAGCTGTTGCCCAGAATCTTGGGGTCTATACTGCCAAGGACTATGCCGATAATTTAGAATTTTTGGTGGGAAGATGGAATGTAGCGGGATTGACAGGTTTGTCTAGTGAAGGACGCAGGGCTCAAGATTTTGTGTGTAGATTGCCTTCAAAGATTAGAAGGTTACAAGAGAGAGCTCAAGAAAGGGCAAAGCAAGCATCAACCATTCCTTTTAGCTGGATTCATGGTAGAGAAGTCAGAGTTTGAGTTCAGTGCCGTGTGTGGGGAATGGTAGCTTCCACCTATCAGTCGTCAAAGAGTGCTCATCTTCAGTATAGTTTGCAGTCTATCTATGATATATGTATAAAGTGTCCTCTCAAGTGACATCACGTAATTACAGATACTCTCATGTTTCCTTTTAGATCTCGATCGATTAAATAACGCCTTTTTTCAATCCTGACTTAAATATGAATTTTAAATAATTTCCTAGTTGAATTGTATTTTAATTAATTAATACAAATCTGAACTTTAAATAGTTTTTTTATTAGATCATTAATTAATTTTTTATAATCTCTTGTATATCAATTTATAGAGGTTTGAGGAATATAGTGATAGTGATAATAACATATTCTAATAATAGTTTTCTATGGTAATTGTATTATTGATTCTCGATAAAAATAATGAAAGTATTTTTCACAAAACATTTGCATCCAGAGTTCCATTAATCGTACTCTTCACGTTATTAGCTATAATTTCTTTAGCCGTAATAAGATATTTATTAATTGAACTGTAATTAATCAACTACAACGTTATAAAAATTTTATAACCGCTGGGTTAAAGATTCAATTTTTTATAGTTCACGAGACAAAAGTATTTAATTTTATAGTTTTGTAATTATAAGGACACGATTGTATTTGCGAGGCTTAAAGTAAATAGTATTGGCTGTAACAAGGGGCTAGCCAGGTTTCATGTACATGCACTTTTGTTGAATAATATTAAAATTTATTTGTTTTTTATTTTAAAAAATTATTTTTTTATATATTTTCATATATGTTGATATTAAAAATAAATTTTAAAAACTAAAAAATATTATTTTTATATATTTTTAAATAAAAAATACTTTAAAAATACAATCATTATTATATTTTCAAACACGTACCACCGTCGAGTACAAAGCAGAGGCATAGGGTTGTGGATTGGAAAACCAGACCGGACATGAAAAATATGAAGCAACCGGGCCCCTTCTGGACTAGACTCATTTTATTGCATACAGGCCCACTAGCAACTATGGACTTTGCGCTCGATCCATCAGAAAGAACGGAAAACATGTTCACGCCGTTTACTGATCAAACTTTTCCCGCCTGTCCAACACAGCACAATATGTACAAGGATTTGTTTTCTTAGCTGCCGAGGAAAAAATTATAATATAAAACAAGTTGACAACAAGAGGACGTGGCAATTTCTACCGAAGAAAAAATTCACCGTTATAGTGTAATTGCCATTTGATCTCTCGTGAAAAAAAAAAAAAAATCAATGTGCCATTAGTTATTCTGCGGTTGTCCGCAGACAACTTCGTCTCTTTGGTTTTTTTTTTTAAAGTAATAAAATTACTAAAATACTTTTTTAAAAAAAAATTAGCAAGATGTTATGCTAATGTATTTTAGTCTTAAATAACATTAAAAACAAAAAAGTTATAAATTGTCACCTAGGAATTATTTCATAAGTTATAAATTGTCATCTTGGAATTATTTCATCTTTTCTTATGTTCTTTTTTATTATATTTATGTTAACTTAGATACAATTTAATATTTCATTAAATATAAAATATCAATAAAAAATAAATTATGCATGCATGGCAAATGCCAACATATCATATGCTTCAACACTTTTAGGTGGTTGGTGCAATAATTTTTAAAGGTAAACAAAAAGTTTTTTGAAATATAGTTAAATTTGTTTTGGTAATTTTTCCTTTGAATGATAGCGCTAGTGGTGTTATGATCCCAGGTTTAGTGTTGATTAATTTTTTTTCTTTCTGTACCTAGATTTTTACATATTATAATCGGTTATTATTTATTTAATTGTTATTTATTTTATTTTTAATTAAATTTATTTTTTAATTATATCCATCTATATTTAATTTCATTTTACTTTTATTCCATGTTGATCCTTGGTCATTTGATATCTATTCATTCTCAGTAATTTTTTTAGATATAATTATTCTTTTTATTATTTTTATCTTTTAGCATTAAAAATTGTTTTTATGTTGTTTATTATATTATTTAATATTTAATTAACCAAGAATTATATTTTTGATTTTTTCAAATATGATACTTCTGACTAATGGAAGAGACTCCAAAATAAATTAAAATAATAAGTGTTTAAATATTAATATATTAAAATATGTTGAAAACTCCGTCGAAATATCCTCAAGATACCCTAGAGACCAAACTCTTACATTTTTTTAATAATCTCGCTAGGCATTGTGGTCTCGCTCTCCACATCTTCTCTCCATTCTCTGCAAAACTCCATCTCACCTCACATGATTATACAAGTCACCCTAAACCTCGCCCCCTTATGTTTCAGATCTGCATTCGATTAATTTCATCTTAAAGTCAAATGAAAAAAAAGAACCCAATCCTTTGTTTTTTCCACTTGCTTTTCCTATGACCATCAATTTCGAAGGCCGTGTTTCTTGAAACCATAGCCGGGCTCGTGCCATTAAGAAATATCTGCACCCCTATCCCGATCCGTCACCAAGCCCCATGCTGTTCGATGGTAGAGTTGCTGGAAAAAGTAGCTTGTAATTTAATAGAAAGTATATGATGATGGTTGACAAAAAGACAAAGCCATTGAATTCTCTGCCACGAAGAAAATTTCAGCCATGCATGAGCTGTCGATGTTTTGGTCAAATACCTCGCCATCAGGCCATCGATTGTATCGAACTGTGCTGTTTTATATATCTTTAAAAAATCAAGTATGAGTTGATAAATTACAGCCATTCATTAGCTCTTAGCAGACCTCACGAAGTCAGTTGATGAATTACAGCCATTCATGTATTTTTTGTATATTTTTATCATGAATCTATGATATACGATGCATCAGTAATAAATACACTACCATGTACTGGTATAAGCTCCTTCAGCATATAATAAATGCCTCGTTTCGTTTATATTTGAAATGGCCTGGTACATGTGAGATTATAGCAGTGGAAAGTGAAGCTCGGTGCTCATGAACTTTCATTGAGCTCGTGTTTTCAGAAGGGAGAAGAGAAAAAAAAATTATAGTGGCGTCGACCAGGAGGATCTTCGCTCTTGTGGTACTTAGATCTTGTGAGGAATGGCATTGCTTTTTGTCTCTTGCTGGCCCTGTGTTTTTCATGAATGGAATTACTTGCTTTTCATGGACGGGCATGCATGAGTATTTGAAATTTCGAAACTTAATAAGAAATTGAACCCAACATCTCTCCATATTCTGTAAATAAGTTCCACAGCTTCTTGTGATTCATTCACTTGACTCCCGCCTCGGATGTTTTGTCTATAAGAAACTCAACCCAACATGAAATTTCTTTCTTTCTTGTGGGTGTGGATACCAAACGACGAATTTTGACAGAATAAATTAAACAAAAAAAGCCTCCACTTGATATTAATTAATATTAAGATAGTATGGAAATTTTGATTGATTTACTTAGAGATCAAGAATAAAAAATTTATTAATAGCTCAATTAATTAGATTTTAAATTTATTTTTAAAAAATAAATTAATAGTTTAAATCTCATAAATATTAGGATGATTATATGCTTATATATTACATAATTATTAATTTTAAAATTTTAAAATTTAATTAAGATACATATATGCGTATATTCAAATTTATAAAATTAATTAAGATACATATATGCGTATATTTACATTAATAATAAAAACTAAATAAAGGATTGGTTGTACCATATATTCATTCTCGGTTTTATTTATGTTCAAATATCTAAGCTTGTTGGGTGTTCAGGTAAAAGGGATAACAACAAAAAAGAAGAAGTGGAAACCGATCCAATATCTTCGGAATACCTGTTATGCATCAAACAAATTATACGCATATAAATAATAATAAAACATAGCAAGGAAATGAGATTATGTATATTGAATAAAAAACAAAATAAAAAATATTGTTGTTATCTATAAAATATAGATTATAAGATTCAAATGTTATTAATATTCTAACATTATATTAAATAACTAATTTAATTTAATAATTTAAATTTTTTAATAAAATCTTGAAAAAAAATATAATTTATATTATTTTTTTAATACATGATTAACAAAGCTATTAAATGAAAACTTGTAAAAACTCTAGACGCCACAGATGGAGAGATAATCCACGCCAAATTAAATATTATATGAAAAGAAATCTTTACAAATCAAGTGTAATAATTTTTTTTAAAAAAAAATATGAAACTCCACACACGTCGCATGAAATAAATAGCTCTGGTTTAAGGATATTTGAGAATACCAAGTCCAGTGAATGAATAGTACTAGACTTGTAAATATCCAACTTGTACTTTTATTTTTTTTAATTTAATATGTCCTTTTCTTATATATATATATATATAATGAAAAACTTTTTAAAGGAGTAACATTCTTTTTTTTAATATACAATTTTTTATGAAAAACATATTTTCTGGTGCATCTCTAGTTTTTTTATGATTAAATCACGTTATAATTACAAGATTAGAACTTGATGTAGCCTTGGGAAATGACAGCGAGCAGGTTTCTTCCGTTCATATTGGCATTTTCCGGCGGGTCCTGCTATGGCAACTCAAGCACGAACTCTCTCGCCACGTGTTGATAACCAAAACAAACAATGAAGGTTGTCATCGTCAAAGCCTGCGAAGCAACGACATAGGAGGCGTGGGAGGTGTCAACGGCGGGGACGACCTTGAGCAAGCTGTTAGAGATCACGCCAAGGGATACATGCGTGCAGTCTTTTTTTTATTAAAAACTATTTTTTAATTGAAATTATATATACAATTATTTAAAAATATTAATTGGATATTTTAAAAAACAAAAAAAAATCTGAAATATATTCAAAATACAAATTATAACACTAAACAAACAAATACTTTAAAATTACAAAAATTTCCACATTTGAATTTCCTTCTCGTTCTAAACCCCTCACCGTAAACACATGAAAAATAATATATGTTTATGATAATTAGATGATATATATGAGAGTATAGTAATAATTATTTTTTAAAAATTATTTTTATATCAATACTTTAAAATCATTAAAAAATAAAAAATTAAAAAATTAACCTTTTTAAAAAGAACACTTTAAAATTATTAAAAAATAAAAAATTTATCTTTTTAAAAAACAAAAATAAACAAACGTTTATAAAAGATAGGTGAATAGGTGAAAAGGAGAATTTGAATAAAAAAAATATATTTTCAAAAAATAAAAAATAACTAGATACAAATAAACAAACGTTTATAAAAGATAGGTGAACAAGGAGAATTTGAATAGAAAAAATATATTTTCGAAAAATAAAAAATAACTAGATACAGGAAGATTACATCAATCTATGAACTATTAAATTACGACGTCGATTTACTATCAGCTTTATTAATTACAGTGATTAAGTGATATTAAACTCTCTCTTTTTCATCCACCATGAAAAAAAAAAAAAAACACTCTTCATCCTTCACTTAACGTCTATCCCCGCTCATCGTTTCTATTTTCCAACAAACAAAACCCTGAGTTTATGCTAAACACGTCTATTTTGATCGTTAATTAATTAAAATTATTAACATACGATTCCTGTCGCGCCAATTCTCGTGTACCAAAATCAAATCTATTTTCGATCAAGTTTTTTCACTTCTATACTGAGTATTTTCACAGGAAAAATCATTTCCCTTAACCTTTATATCAAATTTGAAGATGATGGTGTCAAATTTATATCTATTTATCAATTAAAATAGGTCTTCAAAACTAATATTTTTTTATTATTTAAATTTTTTTTTCACTTTCAAATAAATTAAAATATATTTTAAAAAAAAATTCACTTTCAAATAAATTAAAATATATTTTTAAAAATTTTTGAAATTTTTTTGGAGATTAATATATCAAAAAGATAAAAAATATTAAAAAATAATTATTTAAAAAAAATAAATTTGGATGAAAAACAAGTTGAGCAATGGGCACTAAAACACATTAAAGTGTGTTTATTTGTGTGTTTTAAAAGTATTTTTAAAAATTATTAATTTCTTTGAATTAATATATTTATGATTTTGGATAATTTTGATGGCAAAAATAAAATTTTAAAATAAAAAATAAATATTATTTTGATAACAAAAAATACTTAAAAAAACCCGCTATCATGAATCTCATATACTACCTAAATAATTAAAATCAAAATTGTATCAAGAGATATAAACGCATGGTGTGTGTACGTGTATAAGAGCGAGCCCCCCTTCTTCTTTTTATTCTCTCAATTTCATGACAAGTGATCTTCTACGCATCACAAAATACAATTCAAATTTATTTATAATTTACTTTTCAAGTCCCAAGAAACAGGGTAACATCTTGTCACCTTGTAGAAGATTAAAGATCTATAATTCGGAAAGCATTTATTTATTTCTAGTTTAAACAATAAAGTATGAATTAAAATGATATTTGTGACGTGTAAGCAAGCATCCTCGATAATTTCACAACACCCTGGTTTTGTCTCCTGTCGGGCTAACTAACAATTTGTAATCTCCAAGAAGGAAAAGGGAATGGCAAACAAGTAAAATAGGTAAAGAAAGCGGTCCTTTTCAAATCCGTTTCTTTTTTATGCCGCGTCTCTCTCCCACCCTTCTCATTTTGCGCTCTCCACCCTCTCTCGGTGCTCGCTTTCCCCTAGCTCTCCCTCTCCGCGTTTACGTTGAAAAAAAATCAAGAAGCTTGCATAAACAAAAACAAGAGAGCGGAGAAACCAAAACCACCACAACTCTCTCTCTTCTTTTCATTTCTTCTCTGGGTGTTTCGGAAGCGAAAGAGAGAAAATGGCTTTGAGGCTGAACCAAATAACCTTCCCATCAATCCACAACCTTCCTTCTCAATCTCGCTCTATGAGATCTCCTCATAGAGTTCTCATGGCCTCTACATTGAATTCCATTTCCACCAAGTGAGCCCCTCTCCCCCTCATCTCTCTCATTTTCTTCTATTAAACGAATCATGGGTTTTTTTAATTTTTTCCCTTTGCCGATGTGAATGGGTATGATTGGAAATGACCGTTTTTTTTTTTTGATCTGGGCTGTCTTTAGTTCGTGCTAAACGAGCTTAATTTGTCATTTCCCTGTCACCTCTTCATCTTTAATTTGAACTGGACAGGTCTCATGAGTTGATTGATCAAAGATTGATTTTTATTTTTATTATTATTATAAATGGGCCTGACACTGTTAAAATTTCATTTTAGATCCCTGTGATTTCATTAATATTTTTGGATCCTATACATTACTGTATCTTGTAAAATGGGCTCGTTTTGTGCTTTGTGTACAGTTGTTTGAACTTGATTTCGTATCCGCAGTTAATTTATGTATGCCTCCTTTTGATTTATTCAAGTCGGTGGATTCGTTCATTTCTTATAAATAATAACCAATCATGTTGCTATAAATCAATCTTTTGCATTTCTGTTTGATCAAAACATGGTTCTTGAAATTTATTTGCCGAATTCCTCGTAACATTTTTTTAGCTGATTTTTGCTTTTCATTTTATGAGGTTGGTTGATTATGTTGTTAACATAGTCTTTTCCATTTCTTGAATGCATGCATCAGCATGGAGCTCTGATTTTATTATAGGATGCTTTTATGAGGTGGTATGAATCTAAGTTTACTTCACAGTACTCTTTTTTCTTTCCTTTTTTTTTTAAAAAAAAAATGCTTGCAGTGATTCTCATAATTTATAAAACTGTTTTTAAATCTAGAGGCACGGAATTGTTTATTCAAGATCAGCTTAAAAAAAAAATGCTTGCAGTGATTCTCATAATTTATAAAATTGTTTTTAAAGCTAGAGGCACGGAATTGTTTGTTCAAGATCAGCTAGACATGTAAGAAGAGAAATATTGGTTTATTTCTGGGACTTAAAAAAGAAGAAAATTCTGACATCATGTACGGTTAATATCATTTTCACAATTATATAATGTAGCATACGGTAATATTCTAAAGGGATTTTTTTTGTGTGCCGTATGAGCTGCATGTGGGGGCGTACATTCTATTTTATTTTGCCCTTTCGTCGAGAGTTAGGTCTGATTTTGTGAGGTAACTTATTCCTTCGAACTAGGCCGGTTGGTTGACTGGTTTCAGTGCCTGTATAGTCTTATATGTCCTTGTTTTCTTCCTATTTGGTTGTAATAGCTTGCTGTCCCCCCACCCCCCCAATACACCAGTTGTGTTTTGTAATCGTGTTTTATAAATAGTTTATATGTACTGAGATTGATGTATGCCAGTCTGATTTCTCATGATTTGCTTTGCCTTCTTTGATGGGAATGAGTAACTCTATGCTTGGCTTAACCTGTTTTCGGATTTTATGCTGCATCTTTTATAGTGGATGCTTTGATTTAGTTGGATTAATTATGTTATGAACAAATAGCTCTTATTTGTTAGTACGCAAATTCCATATCTTTTCATACAACATGATCTGGAGATCGGAATTCAGGGTATAGCTTATCTCATGTAATATCTAGGGGGTGAGCATTCAGTCTTCCCATTTCGTCATTGGTTGGTTAATGTCTAATCCAAACCAAAATCTCAGTTCTTTAATCATAAAAATTGAACTAACCATATCAAACCAAAATATAGATGGAACTACCAAGAAAGGCAAACAAAAATACAATGCTTTGGTTTTTTAATTTATTTTGTAATTATATAGTCTGTATTGTAAGAAAATATTTAAAATATGATATGGTTTTTTTAGTTTATCAGTTTCTGTGGAAACAAATGTTGAAATAATTGAATAAATGCTTCTAATGGATTTGATTTTTCAGTTTCCACCATATTCTGCATACAATTTGCAAAAAATGCTTTTTTTAATCCTTTGTTTTCTGCATTGGTTTATTTTGTGCGAAGGATTTTATTTCTAAAGATTGTTAATGCTCTTGACATGGAATTTGTATCTTTTTTCTCGTTTACCTTTTTTCTTTGATTGAATATGGCTGTATGCATTTTGTGTTTGGGCTATACTTCCACGGATTTGGGTGGTTGGATTTTTTTACTTTAATTGTCTCTCAATATTGTGGTAGTTGGTCGAGTTTGGTTTTGTTTCTTCTGTGTATACCTTTTTCCTTAAATGAAAAAAACAAGCCACTCCCTTCCTCCGTCCCTTTGCTACATTGCCAGCTAAAAATTCCCTGCCGAACAACCCAAAAACCCACTGCTCTGCACTGTTTAACTTGCTGCTGCACCTACACAAAACCCCACACTATTTCAGCTATATAAATTTTCAGTTTCATTTAATATTCATTCGCTCCCCTCTCCCACCCCCATTATATGCATGTGTTCCAATGGGCTGTTCTATGGTCTTTCATGTATGAATATTCATAGTTTTCCTCGTATGCATGTGTTCCAATGGGCTGTTCTATGTGAGATGCTCTATGGTCTTTCATGTATGAATATTCACAGTTTTCCTCAAGTTTTCATTTTCTGGGAGATATTTCTTTCGAAAATATTTAATAATCTTGACTTATCTTAAAGAGAATATTTGTCACTTATCAATGTATTAGAAACAATTGCTTGTGTACCTATATTTTAAAGGTGGTGCGCTGGGCATCATTAGTTGTCAAGCATGCCCTATACTGCAATGTGCAATTAAGGCTATATTTGTTTCATGTAAGATATGCTTTGGTAAACATTTTTCACATTTTTCCATGTTTGGCTCACCTAGGAAAACATGGTAAATGGAAATATTTGCAGCCAAAGGAAATACTTTCTGTGTACATGCACCATGTCAAAATTTACACCCTAACCCAATTCTTATGCAATCAAGTGCGGGATGACCCTCAGGACACAAAAATTGGATACTTGTTACTACGCCAAATTTTTCATGCTATCTACAGATTAGAAATGGCTGGATTGATCTCACGATATCTGTGTAGCATTACAGAGGACAGTTAATCTTGTCCACAATTTTAGTTTTTGTAACTTTATTTTTTACTGATTGTAGAGAGGTTCAGAATCTAAAGAAGAAGCCTAATTGTCCTCCACAAGAGGTACATGTTCAAGTGACCCATTCCATGCCTCCGCAAAAGCTGGAGATTTTCAAATCCATGGAAAATTGGGCAGAGGAGAACCTCTTAGTGCTCCTAAAACCTGTTGAGAGTTGTTGGCAGCCACAAGATTTCCTTCCAGAACCCGAGTCAGATGGATTTTATGAGCAAGTTAAGGAATTGAGGGAAAGAGCAAGGGAACTCCCTGATGACTATTTTGTTGTGCTGGTTGGAGATATGATTACTGAGGAAGCCCTCCCAACTTACCAGACAATGCTTAACACCCTTGATGGTGGTATTAGGGATGAGACTGGTGCAAGCCTTACTCCTTGGGCAATTTGGACAAGGGCATGGACAGCTGAAGAAAATAGACATGGTGACCTTCTCAACAAGTATCTTTACCTCTCTGGAAGAGTAGACATGAAGCATATTGAGAAAACAATTCAGTATCTTATTGGGTCAGGAATGGTGAGATCCCTTATTTATTTATCTTGCACTGTGAATTGTGCAAACTTGTGAATGGTGAGATCCCTTATTTATTTTTCCAGCACTGTGAATTGTGCAAACTTGTGACAGTTTGCACGCCCACACACAACCATAGCCAATCACCACGTGGATTTTATTTTGACAAATTCACTTGCATTGTGAACCCAAACTTACTTCCTCCTTTTCATTCGAAAAGAGGAGGGTGAGGGCATCATAAAATCTTCATAGTTTGTGTCAATTTTCTGTCGTTCAAATAGCTGAGAGTTTTTACATGGCAACTGGATCATATTATTGTTTTCCATATTGCCCAGTTACTGGAAATAATCCATACACAACTGCAGTTTTAATGATAATAAGAATTTGTTTGGTTGTCTAGACTCTTTAAATTGAGTTTGGTTACTGTTTCTGGTGCAGATGCCTGGATTACTCATTGTTTTTGGATTTATTTGTTTTAGCTGGTATGAATATCAAATTAAATGGCATTTAGGTTAGATCTTACAACACTTTGATGAAAAAAACTTCCGTTTGCCTTTGCATAGATGTCTCGGCTTGGATAGGTAGTCATATGCGCCTGTTCAGTATGGATGAGCAGTGGCTATTTTTGTGGAATGACAGTGATTAGATTGATTAAATCTCCTGCCAGGATCCCCAGCATTTCTAAATACCAATTTCTTAAAGGATATGATGATCTGCATTGCTAGTACCTTGATCTAGGGTTTACCTTCCGAAATATGTCATTTTGTCTTTTAACGCAGTACTTTAAGAAAATGTATTATTTTGCTTTTCAGGATCCTAAAACAGAAAACAACCCCTACCTTGGTTTCATTTACACTTCATTTCAAGAGCGTGCTACATTCATCTCACATGGGAACACAGCTAGACTAGCGAAGGAGCATGGGGATATGAAACTGGCACAGATATGTGGCATCATTGCCGCTGATGAGAAACGCCACGAAACTGCTTACACCAAGATTGTGGAGAAGCTCTTTGAGATTGATCCAGATGCCACCATCTTGGCGTTAGCTGACATGATGAGGAAAAAGATCTCAATGCCAGCTCACTTGATGTTTGATGGTGAGGATGATAACCTTTTTGAGAATTACTCAGCTGTTGCCCAGCGGATCGGGGTCTACACTGCCAAGGACTACGCAGATATTCTGGAATTTCTTGTAGGGCGATGGAAAGTAGAGAAGCTGACCGGGCTTTCTGGTGAGGGACGTAAAGCACAGGATTTTGTATGTGGATTGCCTCCAAGAATTAGAAGGCTGGAGGAGAGAGCTCAGGGTAGGGTCAAGCAAGCATCCTCCGCGCCATTCAGCTGGGTTTTTGGTAGAGAATTGAAGCTCTGAGCTCATAGAACTACTCTCTGCTACCCACCATCTCATCTCATTGATTTAAGACTAATACACGGCAAGTGCCTCTCAGGTTTAGCTCTGTTTTGATGGACTCTGGTGTGGAGTGATAAGTTGGTACTGATGCTGCACGGTGAAAGCATTGTAGATACATGTTTTCTTGCATCGGTTAACAGTAGTTTCCTGTTATCGAGGGTAAGCTACATATATATATATATATATAGGAACTGTTGGCAAAATCTTTGGCTTAAATATGAACATCTCTTTTTATCATTCTTGCTCATGTTTTGGGTGTTTTCATCTTTTTATCTATAGAATCTTGAGTGCAAGCTTTTAGTGTGATTTTTTTAATCCCATGATGGATCAAGGTAGCTTTTTGGGTATTTTCATTCTTGCTCGTGATTCAAAAGAGGCCTTGCTCGTGTTTTGCCCCCAGAAGCTTATCTGGGAATTCCAAACATGGATAAATAATTTCTTTAAATAACTCCCGGAAACGCTTGGAAGAACAAAAAACAGTTAATAAAAGAGTTCAGATTTTTATTAGTAAAAGAGTGAAAATTCAGATTTACAGCACCCGTGATAACATCGTTCCATCAACCAGTGGTACAAACAAATGAATTTAAGCACAATCCATTATATGTATATATCCATAAAAAGCCAATTTAAACAATATCCAAAAAGATGATACTTGTATAATTGAATGAACAAATAAAGAATTTTGTGGCAGCAGCACCACGAACATAGTACTTGAACAAACCATCCAGCAAATCCAGACCCAAATTAATTAAACTTGGAATGGCCATGGCCAATCTTTCAAGTCCTCGTCTTGCTGCACCTTAGCACTCCTCCTCATAGCAATATCGCCACCATTATTAGCATCACCTTCCACATAAGCATAGTACTTCAAGAAAAATGCAAGAGTCAGCACGACCCACTCCAAGCAAAAGATCACCACACACAACCCACCAGCAAGCTTCAATATGACCTCACCATCCTCCTCCCTCACATATGACTTCAAGTTCCCTAGGAAATCCCCAGATCTAGTAAAAATCAAAACCGATACTGACCCTTGAAATATGGCTGTCAACACTGTGGCCACCATATGTGCAGCATACCACCTATTAGTCCCGGATGACGCTGCAGCACATCCTGAAACTGCCCCAGCAATGGTGAAGACATGAAGGAGAATGAGAAAGAAGCCACATATTGAAGGTACCAGGCGAAGCGAAAGGGTTAAGAAGATGCAGCTAGAGGCTGCTCCAAGTAGAATGTAGTTGCAAAACAAGAAAACCCTGTGAGTGTGGTAATGGGATTGGGACACTGAAGAATTAGTGCTGCCTAGAGTGATGCTGGCACCCATTTGTTGATTGTTTTCTGAGAATTGATGAGACCGTTTTGAAGTTTGATGCTTTTTTCCAAGTGGTTTTTGCAAGTGATTCTGGAAGATCTGTTAGAGACTGGTTTGTGTGTAGGCTTGAGAGGGAGTTAATATAGGGAGGGGTTTTCTGGGTGCAACGGTCATATTTGGAAATGTGACCGTTTAGAGGGGAATCAAGGGACCCCACCCCACCCACCCCAGAAAGGATCCGTTTGCTTTTTAATCGCTGTATACACATAGCCCGTGGGATCCTCGGTGGTTTTTGGGAATTCAATATTAACGTTACGACTTTCAAAAAAGGACAAGAACGCTTCCATGGCAGGAAATGAAAAATGATATGCTGTTAACTTTGAGGGATTTTTTTATTTTTTTTAAAGTTTACTAGTTTAATTTTATTAATTTTAGAATTATTATATAATTATTAAATTTTAAATTTTTAAAACTAATTAAGATACACAATGCTGGCTGGACACTATATTAATTAAAAAATAATATTTGTTGTTAAAAAAAAATACACATAATATTTATAGTGTAACTTAGATTAGAAAGCATGTAAACAAGGACATGTTCTGCAGAAAAATTGTAATGTTGGCATATCAAGTTTCAGTTTTTCTTGACGGGGTACATGAATTTTATTTTTTTGTTTTAGTATACCAACTTTTTTTATTTTGCAAGTTAAATGTTTTTATAAGAAACTTTTTTTCATTTTATTTTACAATCAAATGATATTCATTCTATTTTTCTCTTTTGCCGATCAAATATTTTTTTCACATCGTCTTGACATGTTAATATCAAAATAAAAATTTTAAAAAATAAAATAAAAATTATTTTAATATATTTTTAAGTTAACAATAAAAATATTATTTAATATATTTTTAAATAAAAAATATTTTAGAAATAACTTTTATTATATTTTTAGACATAATTAAAGCTTCACGTGAAAAATAAAATGTCAATGCAACCCCGTCTTGAAAACATATGCTAAATAAAGAAATATATATATATATATATATATATATGCATAAATAAATATATAAAAAAAAAAAAAGTGTGCGTGAAGAGATACATTTTGGATATGCAAATTTTTGGACAAGTGCGAGCACACAAAAGAGCTTTATAAATTTGTTTGGAATTGTAGTAATTTTTATGATTGTGGTTTAACAAAATATTTTTAAAAAATATTTTTAATTATGATTGATTTGATAAAATATATATTTGGTTAAAATTATGAATAAAATTGATATTGAATAAAAAATAATTTAAGAGTATTTAGTTAAAATTGTATTTGAAAATAATTTAAAAATAAAATAACTAATGTTAATTTTATGGTTTTTGAGTTAAAATATTGTAGATTGGATTATCAATACAGTCTTCAACTATCTAGTGTGTTTGAGTATAATTTTTTTTTTTTTTATCTATGTTAATAGCTAAAATGAAGGGATTTGAAAAGGAGAATGAGGTAATTGTGAGGTTTCAAGGAGGATTCTAGAGAAATAAAAATGTGTTATTACAGAGCGTGTAAAGAGAGGAAAGTTATGATAGAAGGGGATGAATAAGTTTTACTAGAATTTAACAATTAATCGATGGACTCTTTAACAAAAATATGATTTACGAACAAAAAAAAGTGATGCATGTGTGTTTGAAATGAGTTTAATGAGAAGAATTTTAAGAGATGCGTGTACTAATACAAATAGATCTATAATAGAAAATAGGAGTTATTTTAAAAGGTTTTTTTTTTTTTTGTAACGGTTATTTTTCTCTTGACATTTGTAACGGTCCTAAAATGAAGGGATTTTAAGAACTCTTGAAAAGCTAATGCAAGATGCTTCTTTTAAAACTGGTTTTCTATCTCTCCCTTATAAAATATTTTGATTTTATCATTTATTTATTTATTAGTTTTGAATACTTATAAAATAGCACGTGGCCTCAATATAAATGACTTGCTATTGATGAAAAGAATTTTCATTTTATTTATAATTTTTTCCTTGATTCATTTTTTTTTTCATATTGTCTTGACATGCTAATATCAAAAATAAGTTTTAAAAAATAAAATAAAAATTTTTTTAATATATTTTTAAGTGAAAAATAAAATATTATTAAAAAAAAATTTAGACAAAAAAAATTTAAAAATAATTATTATCATATTTTTAGACACCATTAAAGCTTTATGCAAAAAATCAAACGTTAATACTATATATAGTATGTGTAAAGAGATACATTATGCAAATTTTTTGACAAATGCTATATGAGTTTGTCTACTATTGCAGTAATTTTCGTGATTGGGGTTTAAAAAAATAATTAAAAAAATATTTTTAATTATAATTAATTTGATAAAATATATGTTTGATTAAAATTATGATTGAAATTGATATTAAATAAAAAATAGTTTAAAAGTATTTGGTTAAAATTGTATTTGAAAGTGATTTTAAAAATAAAACGTTTAATATTAATTTTATAGTTTTTGAGTTAAAATATTAGAGATTGAATTGCCTAATATTAATTTTATAATTTTTGGGTTAAAATATTAGAGATTGAATTATTAATATAGCCTTTAACTATCTGTTATGTTTTAGTATAATTTTTATCTATGATGATAGCTAAAATGAAGGGATCTTAAAAGGAAAATGAGATAATTGTGAGGTTTCTAGAAGGATTTTAGAAAGTTAAACATGTGTTATTGCAAAAGAGGGAGGGAGTTATGATGGAAGGGGATAAATGAGTTTTACTAGAATTTGACAATCATCTTGTTATAATTTAATTTTTGAATAAATTATAAAAATTGAATATTATTAAGAATAAGGTCAAGATAATACAAATTTTGAAATTTAAGGATGAAATTATTAAATTTAATAATTATTTAGTTAATAATTAAAGAATTAATAAGTTGAAGACTTTAATTAAAACTTGGGTTAGTTGAATTAATAAAACCATTAAAAAAGTCACGGGTTTAATTAAAGAAAAGCCAGAGCTTAGAGCTCATTCAAAGGAAAATTGCTAGAAAAGTAAAGCCTAAAAACTAAATTGGATAGTTTAAAAATCCAGGACTGTTGTGTAAACGGTGCTATAACTAAGGGTTCAATTAAAATTAATCCAAAAGCACATTAGAAATTGATTATTAGATCCCAATTGTTAAGTTTAAAACGTTTAGGGACCAGAGTGAAAAATAGTCTCAGGGATACAAACTGCGCCGTTTGGAAGCGTTGTTCTTCATCCCTTCCGTTTAGCGCGGAGGCCGCCGATTCAACAGGGAAATCTGCGGCAATTCAATCCGAGGATGGACCACATTTCCTGCCCATTATCCCCACATTGTTGTTTCCAGGGCCAGGAGGTTAATTGCAAGGAGGTTGCACTCTGTTTCTTCTCAAAGAAACAGAGTGAACGTGCCTCACCATCGTGGGGCACGAAGCCATTCTCTGGCTTTATAAAAGCCAGAGAAGGCCATGAAGAGGAAGGGGGGCCTGCAGGAGAGAGAGAGAAGCAAACGAAATAGAAACAGGGGAAGAAAAACTGAGAAAAATTGAAGAAAAAAAGCTGGGGAAGTTGAGAGAAAAAGAGACCCAGAACCAGAGAGAGAGAGAGAGGAAAGGCAGCAGGAACGAAGATAGTGGAGCCACGCCGGGAAACAAGAGAAAACAACCACGCATAGAGAACCAAACCTCCACATCACCACCGACTTCATCTTTCTTCAATAACAGCCTCCGAAAACAGAGGCGACAGAACAAGAAAAACACAAAAATAAAGGAGAAAAACAGAGGAAAACAGGGCATAAAAGGCAGTGCAAAAACAGAGCAAATAAAAAAAAGGCAAAGGGACAGAGAAGAGAAGGAAAGAAAAACAGAGGGGTAACCATTTCGTTCCTGCAGACAAAGAACAACCCAAAAGACAGTGGAGCCACACTGGGAAACAAAAGAAAACAGCCACCGCGCCCTTGTCTTCGGCGCCGTCCTTGGCTACACAGGTAAGTTTCCATTCTCCGCATTCAGTAAAAGTTTCAAATGCAGTGTGAAGGTAATTTAATTACCTTCACACTCCTCATGCACGCGTGAAGACGCGTGCTTCTTCTTCTTTTGCCCAGCCCACATGGGCTAGGCCCGGTCCAAACAATTTTTTGCTGATATGAGCCTAGCCCAACCAAAAAATATAAAAAAACAAAGATTTGTGTATGTATATAAAAAGATATGAATTTATTATTTTTATTCTTTGGTGACGGAGTCAGAATAAAAATATCTATTCAAGTTTATTTTATTGTATTTTATTTAGTTACATAAAAATAAGAAATGTGCATGTAAAAATAAAATAAAATAAATTTATTGATTTATTCACTGATGTCAAAGTCAAGAATAAAACATACTGATTTAAATTTATTTTATTTTTATAGTTACGTGATATTTATCATGCCAGAATTAAAAATATTTATGGTTAAATATTCACTGTCGTCGGGGTCAGAAATATTACACGCAGACCGTTGTAGCGTAAACTAACAAAACATTAGCAATTTATGACAAAATCAGCAATGTAGTCTATTTCAGGCAAGACATTTAATAGATAATAATATTCTCTTTTTTACGTAATCAATCTCATACCACAAAATATTTACTGACGAGTTAGGGTCTCGTAATTATCATACTAGATAGTGATTTTTTAAATAGATATTTTTTTATTAAAGAATAAAATGCTAGAATTTTTTTTTAATTTTTTTTTAAGATCATCACAGTATTAGTATTAGGGGCGACACAATTGATGGATTCTTTAACAAAAATATGATTTCCAAACCAAAAAGAAAGATGAATTAATGTTTCAAACAAATTTAATGAAAAGAATTTTAAGAGATACGTGTAGCACTCTAGATAGATATATAATAAAAACTAGGGGTTATTTTAATTTTTTTTTGTCCGTAGCAATTATTTATCTCTAGCTGATAACGCGTGTTACTAATTAAAAAAAAAAAACAAAGTTAAAACTCTCAAGAAGCTAATAAAAGATATTATTTTTAAAACTGAGTTTTTATTTCATTTTTAAACGAGTTATGTGTTTTAAAAATATTAATTAATATTTTAACCAAATATAATTTTTTATGATATCTTCAAAACTCAATCAATGTCGTATAACCAAACACACTCTGTTACGTGAAAAAAATGAACATCATTTATACTTCAAACAATTCAGGATATGGAGTATGAATTTATATTTACATCACTTTCCGTGTTCTCCCTCTACATGAGGCATTTCTCCCACCCTAAACAATTCTTGGAAAACAGTTCATTAATTTTTTTTCTTTTAAAATATTATCGAGGAACAAGCAACTATTCAATGACAAATGGAGTACAAATCGCTCTCTCTCTCTCTGTTTTTTTTTTTTGTCTGAATACCGAGCTTGAAGAACTCTATCAGGTTTGAATACCGAGCTTGAAGAACTCTATCAGTACTTTGTAAAAATTTGAAAGAGGAAGGATTATGAACTGTAGGAGTACTTTAGTGATACAGTACAGGTATTGCCGTTTGGCATTCCGGTAACTTTACTCTTGGGTTTTTTTAAAAATATTTTTTACTCTTTAAGATAATTTTTTTTATATAAAATAATTAAAAAATTGATATTTATAAATTAAAAACAAGTTATTTCGAAGTCAAAATAATATTTAAAAAGTAATTACACACACATATATAAATTATTTAAATGGTCAAAATGATTCTTCTCTTAATCTAAGAGAGTTTTTAAAAATATAATAGAATCTTTTTTAAAGTGTTTTTTTAGAAATATATACTTTTTTTAAAGTGTTTTTTCAGAAATATATTAAAATAATATTTTTTTATTTTTTATAATTTATTTTTAATATTAGCATAATAAAATAATTAAAAAAATTAAAAAAATAATTTATTTTTTTTAAATTTTAACAAAAAAATAAATAAAATAAAAAAATAATTTATTCTTTTTAAATTTTAACAAAAAAATAAATAAATAAATTCAACTTTAATTTAAAAAACCACCCGAAAATTTAAACTTTAATTTAAAAAACCACCCGAAAATCAAAAGCGATCGTCTTCCAAACCGCATCACGTCAGTTTAACCCACAGGACATCCTTACGCTCAAAGTCGGACAAAACAGCTTTCACATCCAAACAATACGATTCCTTTCCACCCAGGCCCCCTCCGCTCTTCTGCCCTTTTTTCATCGTCTCCAATAATAACAGCAGCACCCTGTAATAAAAAGAAAAACGATGTCGTCTCTGAAAGTTTCCTCCGTCGATCTCCAAACCCAGCAGCAACAACAACCATGCTCCGGTTAGCACCGACACTTGCTATATAAATATAATAACTTCTCGTACAATTTTTTTTAATGTCATTATATTTCTTCAGAGAACCGATTTTTTTTTAGTTTACATGTATCTTTACTACTCGTGTAAGAGGTTTAACTAGGTTGAATGCTGTCAATTAGGGTTCTGTTCTAATCTGGGTTGTACTAGTTGTTGCGGATATGTTCTGGTCGTTTTTATTTTTTCTTAGGATAGCTTAAACACATAAAAAAGTTCGTGACTTTATTTATTTTTATGTGTGTAATTGCGTGTATAAATAATGGGTTTTAATTCTTAGGCTATGGTTTTGATTGTTTTATGGTTTTAAATTGCGTTGACATTGATGAGTTCTGTAATGCTAAGTGAAATGTTGTGAGGAATTATAGGTAGGAAAAATATTGCGGTTTAAAATAGTGTTCATGTTATCATGTTTATGCTTGTATTTATGTTTTCTTGCATGCAACTAAAAGGAGGTGAAATGGGATTCTCTTCTTTTTACTGTACAGGTGCAGGAAATGCCTATGATGGCATTTACAACACAGTTGCGGAAGGTGGATGGTATATACTAGGTGAAGATCAACAACAGGTTGGACCTTATGTGTTTTCCGAGCTACGTGGTGAGTTTAGTTCTGTATTTCATTGAATGCTGTTTTTAAGTTATCTAGGTTTCAAAGTATGGAATAATTGTCTTGAAACCTTGTGCCATTCTGTTAAAAAATAAATAAAGAATAAAAAGGAGCATGCTTGAATTGTTTTGGTGAACGAGCAAGACTGAAAAAAAGGGTGCTTGTAACTTTTTTTTTGGTTTATTATGTATTGACATTTCATTTGTGGGAGCTTATAATTTACTGGAGAATTTTTTTCTCTCTGCTTTCTGGAATTTCAGTTCTACCAGTAACCAATAGCAAGGTTTCAGGACAATTGTTTCACCTGTAACATGTTCACTTGGTCTAATGAGCTATTGAACCATCTCCTTTGCTTATTTGCTTCGCCTGGACAGAGCATTTCTTGAATGGGTATCTCTTAGAAAGTACACTGGTGTGGTCTGAAGGAAGAAGTGACTGGCAGCCATTGTCCTCAATCCCTGAGTTGATGTCAGGAACTTCTCAACAGGGATCTGATTATTCCAGGGCAGGTGATGAATCTCCTTTTCTTCCTGTTTATACTGTCTGAATATCTTTATGCATGTGTAATGCAATTTTGTATTTTCACAAGCATATTTACCATTTCCATCTTCTGAATGAGGGCGCTTAACCTTGGATGTTTTGTGCAGCACTCTTTTACAATGATAACGAGGGGGAGAAGTTGCAGGAGGTCAGAGAGGCCACTTTGGTATCTGTTGGATTGAGAAATGGTTCCCATTCTAACAATGAACAGAAAGCCAATTATTCTACTTTAGGTGAAGATCCTTTCCCCCCATCTTTTCTCCTCTTGCTCCTAGAAAAGACTGTCTTACACTTTGTTCTGTCTGCAGTGTCTTCCAACGATGATGAAGATGAGTTTGAGAAATGGCAAAGGGAGGTAAAAGAGGCAGAAGCTGAGGCAGAAAGGTTAAAAAATGGATCTCTTCCTGGCAACACTGGAGACGATTTTGGGATAGATGATTCTGATAGGATTCTGTCACCACCAGATGGTGAGGATGAATTCACAGATGATGATGGGACTACATACAAGTGGGATAGAAGCCTTAGAGCCTGGGTTCCGCAGGTTGGTTGTCATGTTGTCGCTTTGGGAGGGTTCATTTTCATTCCGATATTAGTTTAAGCACAGTTAAAACTTTATTTTCAAATCCAGTGTTAGCATTATTTTTCTGGCATTCATATATTAACCTTATTATTTTCTTAGAAGTTCATATACATGCATATGTAAACATATATGCATGCACCTCTGTATACTTGCACATATAATCCATTGTGATTAAGACAGAGAAGAGTATTGCTGAGGGATATGAAATGGCTAGGAATAGGTTTGGGTTGTGTCATTTGCAATCTGTTGATTATTTCTTATCATTGGTGGTTATGGAGGGAGTTATCACCTTTTTCTATTTGAAGCTTTTTGAGATGATTTATTTTCTGATTCTTGATATCATTACTAATCAAATGCAGCATCGCTGAATTCTTGGGTTGCGGGCTTGATGAATGACCTAAAAGTGTATCGGATTTCCAGTGCAGGGCAATTGTAGGATTAATTAGGTTTTTGTATCTAAAGAGCAATGGGGTTTAGGCTAAAGTGATATGATTAGTAGGGTCTGTAAGAGCAATTGGACATGGAGGATTCCAAGGGAAGAAAACATACCCTTTGGTGGCCCATTCTATGAAGCCAAGATTGTCTTCTCAATAGATAATATCATAAAAATTATCACTCATTGCCAACCTAAATTTAGCGTCTTAAGAAAATTAATTTTGTATCATGTGATCAGCACTTCCTGTTCTTGGAAAAGGTAGTCTCTAATGATCATCTCTGTGATCATGGCAAGTCAGAGATCTCTTCTGAACTTTCATTGCTATCTTTCTGGATTTCTTGGTTCTATCATGGTGTTTGTTTTTTAAATGTTGAGGATACCTTGTTATGGTTTTCTTGCCTCCCCTATGACATCAAAAAGCCTAAATTTTTTCCTAGTGATGCATTGAAAAGGTTATGCTACTTTTCTTTTCTCCATTTTTTTACCATTGTTTTATTTGGCCTAATATCATCTTCTTACTGATATGATTGAAATGGTGATCACAATCTTCTGGTCGTAATCAACTGATCCTCTAGGATAATCTATCAAGTGTAAGTGAGCAGTATGGGGTAGAACAGATGACTTTCCATGAACAAGAGGAGGTATTTCTGAATGTAAATGCTGCTGATGCCTCTTTGAAGAATGAAGCCAATGGTACTGGTGAAGTAGTAGAATCACAACGTAGTGACAAGAGGAAATTACAGGATGAGCAAGCTGATAAGGACAAGCAAGCTGATAAGAAGGTATCTTATTTCATATCTTCTTTTGTCATAAAACTATTGAAGATGGAAACTTGCCTCTTTTCTAGTAACCTTGTTCATGCAAGTTGGTTTTAAGAATGACTGACACCATACCACTGTAGCCTGCTGTTCCCATTATTATCAAATATTTTCATGGGTTTTGGGACTATAAAAATTGAATAGACAACAAAATTAATTACAACAAGAATGAAGGTACAGCAGCTTACATGACTTATTGGGATATTTGTTGTTTGTCTCTTAATTTGGATAGTATGTTTTTTGCTGTGGTTTCCTCCTTGTTATGTATCTTGCAGGAAGCCAATAAGGCCCCTGATAGTTGGTTTGAATTGAAAGTCAATACGCATGTTTATGTAACTGGGTTGCCTGATGATGTCACTGCTGAAGAAGTAAGTTATTTGGTGTCTAATCTTGTGTTATTGTTTTATCTTGGCTAGAAACTAATTTTAGAAAAACATTGCAGGTGGTAGAGGCATTTTCCAAGTGTGGGGTAATTAAGGAGGTATTGTTTGTATTTTACAGATTTTCTTAATCTACCCATGGTTGAAGTCTTGACTCACCTTTATCCTGTGATAATCTAACTTAGGCCAGGCTTGGCAGCGCAGGAAAAGAATCTTGTTAAATAATCATTAGTCTTTCAATTAAAAAATGCTCGCAAATCTGTTGGTTAATGTAGCAGAGTATGATCAACTATCGTCCTATATGATGTGAATTCAATAATTCTGTAATCATGTGCTACATGCATGCACTAGAGATAGAAAAAAGGTTCAAAAGATGAGAGCATTGAACACAAGGCTAATTTGTTTTGTATATTCCTGAAGGGCTTTTAAAATGTTAGGTGAAGTCCTCTCCACAAAGATAAGACTGGATATGGTTATTTATTTTTACAATCAAATGATACATTAAATGCTTTGTTGTTGTTGTATAATGATAAAATTGAAGAGAATTTGTGCATATGGTACTTGTAAAGTGCACGCACATATTAAGAGGATGGAAAATACTGTTTTTGTTGCACAACTACCCATCTCTGCAGGTTTAGAAGAGCTGATGCTTTGTTATTCCATTTATTATTCTGGACATAGTTGAGATGTCACATCTTGCTGTCTTAAAATCACACTTGCTAGCTGGCATTTATGTTCCAGTATGATTCCTTCAGAATCATAAAATTAATCTTTTAGGCTATAATACTGTTTAATGTTTAATCATCCTCACACAAGATTTATTTTTTAACTTTCATTCTCTATGCATTAGCAGAAGGTGAAAAGGATTTTTTTTTTATGGTTCCCTTTTGTGTGTGCATTTGCTTCTCAGACTTGTGATGTTTAATCCTGGATAAATTTTCATTTGGAATTGCACATCTAAGAAACCAAGTTATGAAATTTGTAGGATCCTGAAAAAAAAAAGCCTCGCGTGAAGATCTACGTTGACAAAGAGACTGGAAGAATAAAGGGAGATGCTCTAGTTACATATTTGAAGGTAATTGCTTTGCTGTGTTACTGTACTTGCAACACGAAACTGACAAGATTCGTATCTCAGAGTATATGGAAGTTTTGTATGGTAGGAACCCTCAGTTGATTTGGCTATGCAAATTTTGGATGGGACACCTTTGCGACCTGGGGGCACAATTCCTATGTCGGTCACCCGAGCCAAGTTTGAGCAGAAAGGTAACAAATGCAAAACATTATGTTTCAAATTTCCAGATTGCAATACCAAGGAGGATTTTTGTCACCGTTGTTTGCATATTGATTAGTACATGAATAATATCTCTATGTTCTGAAGGATTTTCAATTATTTTATTTGCATCTATTTATTAAAAGCTGTGCACTATTAGTGAGCCTTATTCATGATACATGCAGGGGACAGATTTATAACCAAACAAGTAGACAACAAGAAGAAAAGGAAGCTGAAAAAGGTTGAGGACAAGATACTTGGTTGGGGTAGGTTCTTGTTCAATCTGAGGCATTGAATGTTATTCAGTAAATGTGGCAGGAAAGGTTTCGTAGTGAAAGTTACTTTTCTCTATCCCTCTCTTGTCTGAAATTAAATAAATATACTTGTATGACATTGCATAATATCCATGATTTAAACCACTCCTTCATTAAGAAGCTTTGATTGTGAAAGGGTCAATTCCAGCTATTTTTCTTCGGCTTGTTCAAATCAAGGAGGAATTTCTGTGTTTTATTCCTTCAATACATGAAAAATACAATTTTCCTTCAATACAATTTCTGTGTTGTTGTTTTATTCCTTAAATGCAATTGAAATAAAAGGCTAGGGTAAATCTTGAACCATGTTTAAGTGGATATGATGTGGATGAAGGCTTGAAAATTATATGCCGTGCTTTTATTTTCATTTTGAAGTAGCTCTTTTAATTTTGTTCCATGAGTGTTTCTGATTTTTCATTGAGGATTTTATCTTGAGTTTCTTTGGAGTTGCTTTTACATGTGATGCCTTGGTGCCTTGCATGCATCTGACATCATGCGCTTGTATCCTACAGGTGGCCGTGATGATGCCAAGGTGTCGATTCCAGCCACTGTAGTTCTTCGCCAAATGTTCACTCTTTCTGAAATGAGGGTGAGTGTGGAACAATCTATGGTTTGGATGGGACTTCTTGCAAAAGTACTGTTTGCTTAGATATCTTTTATTGGAACCTGTCCAACATTTGTTTGGACGCGGATAATTTCTATTGTTTGTTGATCAAATAAGGCAAAAGAAACAGTAATTTATTCTTCTGTTATTTACTTCATGTTGAACTTTTACTCTCTTATCCTTTTGTTGCTTAATATTTTCCTTGTGCACACAGTTTTTAAGAGACAAAATTTGACCTATGGTGATAAAGTTGCAAGTCTTGTGTCTATTTTAGCAGTTCATTTTGTTAAGGGTGTTTTTATCTGTGCCCTTGATGTAATTTTGCCACCCGTGGTTATGATCATGCAACAGTGCAAGTGTTGACAGTTTAAAGACAGCATACTAGCATGGGGTGAAGCATTCAAATGAACTCACCAAAAGTGACCCATCTCAAAATTTTCATGCACGCTGAGGAAAAACATTGTCTCTTGTTCTCAGCATCTGCTTTGCAGCTTCTTATTACAAATGTTATCATCACTAAATCTATTTAAACATGTTACTTTCTTCTCAACAAAAAAGCCATCTCATTTCTTCATTTTTCATGGACCCTTGGGTAGGATTGCTGCATTATGTTTTTGTATAAGCAGTCCAGTGATTTTTGTACCATTATCATATTTGAATTTCTTATTATAGGCTGATGAAAGCTTACGTTCAGAACTTGAGGTAGATGTTAGAGAGGAATGTGCGAAGCTTGGTCCAGTTGATTCTGTCAAGGTAACTGAAATGTTTTAGCCAAGCATTGCATTTTTAAATACCCTGTTACAAATCATGCTAAAGAAACTAGTTATGCAGTAGAAACTTTGCACTGGTTTGCGTTTAGTGCTGGCTGGTAAATTCTGCATGTAATGGTACAGATTTTGTTCATTTCATCTAATTGCACTCTTTCTTGGTACTTGGTAGAGTCCTACATTCTCCAGAACTGATTTCACCGCCCTTTTATGAACTCCTGGGTATCCAAATTTATCTCTCATTACTCGGGACCAGTTTGTGCAATTTCAAACATGAATTGAAAATTATTTTCTTCCATCACCACTTTATTTTCAATTAGGTCAGGCTCCCCCTAAAGAAATAATAATAATAATAATGTAAGGTCTTCTCTTCATACAGCCTGAATTCTTTACAAAAGAATTATTTCCCTTTCATGGCAACAGGAAGCTCAGAAGTCGTTATATTACTTATGTTTGATTTTGCTTGGCTGCATACTGCCTCCATGCAATTTTTAAGAACTAATTTTGAAAATTTTCATGTTTCTTCTCCTTGTATTCCTTTACCAATGCATTCTTACCACTTTTGAGTTCCATTGTCAAGTTGCTGTTGACTATATTTTAATCCCCCCCCCCCCCTCCACATATTCTGCTATGGCTCTGCTTGCAGGTCTGTGAGAATAATCCACATGGTGTTGTTTTAGTGAAATTTAAAGACAGAAAGGATGCTCAAAGTTGCATAGAATTGATGAATGGGCGATGGTATGTTCTGATTTGTTAATTAGTAGCTACTCAAATGATGACTCAGTTGGACATAAGTGAAGAAATTACTGTCATAGAAATTGACCAGCACGGTATCAAGTTTGGCATCATGATTCCTCATTTTTACTTTTGGATAAGCAGTAATAGTCAGACATTGAGAGCCTTAAAATATCCGCAGTAAAGGAGTAGATAATTAAATTTATGTATACATGGGAAGAGAATAATTAAATTTATGTATACATGAGAAGAGATCTACTGAGACAAGGTTTTCATCAAACTGTCAGATATGATATGTATGGATCATGAATGATAAATTCCAAGTGCTTATCTATATAAGTTTTTTGAAATTGAAAATTCATGCAATACAAAATATGAACAATTTGTCACAATATGAAGTGAATAATTTCAATATCAAACTTTCTTGAAATTTGATTTGCTTGAACTAAATAGAATAGAGGACTAAATCTGACGGTGGGTTTGAGGGAAATGGAAGTATACTTGAACATGCATATGGGGATGTCTCAGCTCTATACATGCATACAATTTGGTGGTAAAATTACGGTTGCCTACTAGAGCTCACACTTGTCTTAATTTTGTATGATGCATTATTGACAGCACAACCAGTGTGCTGCACAATGTTGGATGCTAGAACTTGTTCAGTGTTTTTGTTGTTTGCTTGGAAATATTGTTGGATAGTGCAAATTGCCACCATCTCCAATATGATAACAGTGCAGGTGATTATCATGTTGTGAATCAGAAAGAAGCATGCATTCTATGAGACATTCTGTCAGAATAGTGTTGTAGATCAACCCAAGAATGTGTTATCAAATGAAATCATTATGGATTTTAATGCTTTGGCATTTCTCAATCTTTCTTAGTCATCTAAATTTTCTTATTATTATCACTACTACTATTGTGTTACGTTTCGTCTTGTTGCTATTTAGGTTCGGTGGAAGACAGATAGATGCTAGCGAGGATGACGGATTAATTAATCATGCTTTGGTCCGGGATCATGATGAGGATGCAGCTCGATTGGAGCAGTTTGGCGCGGAACTTGAAGCTGACTGAATTAACTTTGAAGCTGCAGTTACACTGCTATGTGTTCCTGATGTTAATTTTTACCAAAATAGAAGTTGATATCCATGATAAAGAGACAAAAAAGGAGGGGGGCAGAAAAGCTTCTGATGTGATTTCTGATTGTAAATGATAGTGATGTTTTTTAAAATGGATGCCGTGTTTAAAGCTCAGCTTTTTCAATGGCTTGTCTCTCATAAAATTATAGTTCTTATCATCCCTGAATGGTTGTACTCTTTGGATGTTGATGGGAGCTTTGACACATCAGCTTGTCATGAGGAACTGGTGCAAGCACAAAGTGATGCCTCTTGCACCAGTCGATGATTGGTGGAAGTGCCGTAGAGCTCCCATGTGGTATGATGGTATGCGCATTCCTGCTGTTCATGTTCGTAACGTTCACCGTTTATTAGAGGTAAAAAAATCAGCTTTGTTTGAATCTCATCTTCTTTCAAACACAGCTTCACAAATGATGAAAATCAAATCAAACAGACACTGGAATGGAAACAATCTTTCAGACATCCTATGCAGCAGCACAGGTGAAATTCTACTATCAAAATAGTTTTAAGAGGTAATTATGCTGAGATGTAGGAACACAACCACTTGTCAAAAGAGCAATTGATTTTTAGTCGTCCCAGACGCGCAACGCTCCAGTGGATCCTAAAAAAGGTTGCTGACCCAATACCATCAATAACGTTAGAATGGGACGCTTAGGAATCCATGTAGCCCCCATTACACTCGTTCTTTTTTCATGGGGAGTTCGGGATTTTAGCCTATCCTTGCTGGTTCGGCAATATTGATCATATCATCTTCTTTTTTCATCAAGTACAGGAGTGCACGGCAGCTCTCGCACTCAAGTTCATACCTTCTATTGCCACAGTTTTGAGGATCGGATTTCAACCAGAAAGGGTAGCTTTATGGATGCTACCGCAAGAAGAAGGAACGCGGTAATTGTTGCTTTCTCTAGCTCTGCAAGTATGGTTGGCCAGTACTAGAAAAAGAAGGCCTGCTCATGCAGCAAAAAGGCTCCTTGTTCCGCTTGACATTGCTAGAGAAAACTAAACCCAAAAAGATATGGTTTCAGTACTGTTACACTCACCAAAAGAACAAGAAAAAGAAGTTGTTAGAGCAAATTGTGTGTTCTTGAGAACTACACAGTTGTCTGCCATTTACCATCTCGGGTACATCCTCATTGAATACAAAAGCATTAGGAAATTACATGGAAAGTTCCCACCAGGCAACCGGAAGGTGGCTTTATGACTTTCAGTTACCCTGTAAGGTAGCTTTGTGACTTTCAGTTAAAGAGTCAAGGCCTGTAAGGTAGCTTTATGACTTTCAGTTACATAGTAAAGGCCTGTAAGGTAGCTTTGTGACTTTCAGTTAAAGAGTCAAGGCCTGTAAGGTAGCTTTATGACTTTCAGTTACAGAGTAAAGGCCTGTAAGGTAGCTTTATGACTTTCAGTTACAGAGTCAAGCTCTTGTCCCCTTTCTCGTTGGATTTAAACGGGGAGAGTTTGTTCTCTCTTGTTTCCAAGCTTTGTAACAGGGATTGGCTCCTGCTCCCTTTTTTCTCTCCCATCAATCAATCCTCTCCCTTTCTCAACCCGTTTCACTTTTGGTGCGTGTGAGATTTGATTCTGAATATCTTACAAGTAGCTATAGGGAAATGGAGTTCAAGCCCAGGGGCGGAGCCGGGCACATTTTACAGGGGAGGCCAAAATTAATATAATAATATATATTATAATAATCTCACTTTTGGTGCGTGTGAGATTTGATTCTGAATATCTTACAAGTAGCTATAGAGAAATGGAGTTCAAGCCCATGCAGCTGCATAAGCACTAAATTTTATATCCTTGCATCATCATGCCTTGAGCCTGGAACCACTTGTCAGTGGACAGAAGAAAAAAAACTGCATGTAGCTAAGGAGTCTTCAAATGAAGTTTCAAGGTCGAAAGAGACAGGAAAGCAAGCCGGCCATTTTTACAATCAGTGATAAAAAAGCATAAAAAACTTCTCTTTTGCTTGGAAAGAAAGAAGAAGGGGGTGCCATTGTGGATGTGTCTCTACATAAGTTACTATTTATTTTTGTATTTTAAAAATGTTTTTTAAAAAAATTAAATTTTTTATTTTTTTACTGTAAATTATTTTTTTTGTTTTTTAGATAATTTTAATATATAAATATCACTGTAAATTATTATTTTTTTTAGATAATTTTAATATATAAATATTAAAAATAATTTAAAAAATATTATTTTAATATATTTTTAAATAAAAAAAATTTAAAAAATAACTATAAATACACTCCCAAACTATAAAACCATGAATAGATTAGGGGCTAGAATAGAGCAGGTTGCCCGACGTTCCAAATAGACCCAACAAAAATGAAGGCTCAGCGCCATCATGTATAAAAAACTAACAATACTTGGCTGTAAATGTGGGTTGTGGCCATCTTAAGCAATTATTTTTTTAATTAATATCTTTATTTTAATAACTTATATATATTTTAATTAATTTTATGATTTTAAAATTAATAATTATATAAAAATAAATTTGAAAAATATTTAAAATTATAATTATTATAAAATAAAATCAAAATCTCATCAGTTTAGTTGTTATTTAAAATTTAATGATATAACAAGAGAAAGAGAGGAAAAAAAAAAAAATACTAGTGTCTAGTTAACATTTAACCACGCTAGAGTACAAGTTGATTGGGTGGGGCATCTGCATCACACGCACTAATGTGATCTTTTATTTGTTCCATCAACAAAAAAAAACAATATGGCGAGCACAGGAGGCATGCACTGATTGGATCTTTCCTTGAGCCTTCCACGTGATGATGTCATTATTTCACGTGGATGACATCATCATCTTTAACGTTGTTAAAGACTATGATGGATGATATTATTATTTTATATCGGTCAGCAAAACAAAATGTTAGTCACATGTATATATACATAGCATCAAGATCTGGTCCCTCCCGGGAAAATATACTTTCAAAGACAAACCCTATTACGTGGATGTGGGTTTCATCGATGGAGACAATTAAAAACCTATCATATAATTCGGATGAAAAACACGCATTATAGTGTGATTAATATATACATTCCCGCGTAATATTATGGATTAATTTTTTATATAAATAAAATAAAAAAATTAAATTTGTTTTAAAATTATATCTAAGAATTTAAAATTTAAATATAACATCTAATCTAAAAATAATATTTATAATATTAATAATAATATCAAACTTATATGATTTAAGTTTAAGTAAATTTGACTATAACACTAAACCTAATAATCTTAGATATAGGTTTAACTGCAAAGTCATATTATAAAAATATAAAAATTAAATAGATTAATAAAAAAAAACCAACAGAAAAGTAAAAAATTAATAATAAAAAAAAATTGAATTAACTGGGTTAATCTATCAAATCTGGAATTCATGTCATTAAAGTTTGATAACTAAATAGATAAAAAAATTTGACAGATTAACTGGGTTAAACCGTCAAATTAGATTAACCTGTCATGTCCGGGATACCTGCCATGAAAGTCCGATAATTAAATAAAAAAATTAATATTGACAAACTAAACTAAATAAAATAAATAAATAAATAAATAAATAAATAAATAATTCTGAATTAACCTGTCAAACTTGAAATATATATTAAGAAAATCTAGTAATTAAATAAAAAAATTAATATTAATAAATTAAATTAAAAAAACAAAAAAATAGCTCAAAGTATTTTAAAATAATTTAAATTTATTTATTTATTTAAAATTAATATATTTTTAAAATTATTTTAATATAATAATCCCAAAAATAATTTTAAAAAGTAATCCCAAAGAGCTCTATCAGCTCTATATAATTGCCACACTTGATTCCCAGTTGTTCTTCACGGCAACAAGAAAAAGAAATAGAAATGGCAAAGAAAGAGGAGTTCTTGAAGGAACATGAATATTTGAACGAGAAAGAAGTGTCCCGCTCTGACTTCCCTCCTGATTTTATCTTTGGAGTTGCTACTTCTGCTTATCAGGTAGGCGCCCCATTGTGTGCGTGTCTTTATTTCTGTTAATTGGTGGCAAATTCTGATCTGGGTTGTTTGACAGTTTTGATTGTGTAGATGATATCAATGCTGTTAAAGATGGTGACTGATTGATCCACTGTTCATTTTGGTTGTTTGATTTTATTTTTTGGATGTTTTTTCAGTGCTCTTATGCATCAAAAATATAAAAATAAAAGATATTTTTTTAGCTCTCTCTAAAACTACTACATTTTTTTCTCCTGAAATCATGCCTACCTTGTGCTAGTTTTTGACGATCAAGCGAGGATTTTTTTAGGGCTTTTTCTTATTTGTTGCGGCATCTATCCTTTTTGCAAGGAGGCTTCATACTCATTCTATTAGGGTACAGGGATGATCGATGAGTTCAATTGATTAAAAAGTTGCTTTGTTTGCATTAAGAAACCAGAGGTTTTCTCTGCCTTCTCCTCTCTCTCTCGCTCGTAAAGGGATCATCCAGCTCTTTCTGTTGATATATTGTTCTCTCTGATCCCTAGCGGATCTCAATTGTTGATGTCCCAGACATAGTTATAGTTTCATGCTGTGTGTATTGGTTACGAAGAACTTGCACTCTTTGAATTGAGCTCCTTGTTACTTGCTTATAGATTGAAGGAGCCAGCAACGAAGGTGGCAGGGGTCCTTGTATATGGGACGCTTTTGCGCAGTCTAAAGGTAAAAAAATTTTGAACTAAATAAATAGATACATGACTTTATCGTGTATTGATTACAAGCTTATAGTGAACTGCTCCCATGTTGTTATTTTTTTACATGGTCTTTGACCTTGATTATAAAATTCTCACTATTGTTTTACCAGGAAACATACTTGATGGAAGCAATGGTGATGTAGCAGTGGATCATTATCATCGATACAAGGTCAGCATCAACAAAACTTAGCAACGAGTGGGCTGCATTTTCTTTTATTCCTTGTTGTCTCTCTGACATTCATTGATGTGGCATGGAGCATGCTGGATGGTGTTTCTTTATTGCCTCTCTGGTAGCTTGTTAGCTTTGGCAGTGACTACTCCGTGGCATGCTTCATGACCACTCAGAAAATTTTAGCTAAGCATGGATGATGTTATTGATGATTTGTATCATTAGTATTCATGTTATACATATACACACAAACTGTTAGAGATACTTCTTCATGTCTCCTTGTGCCATGCCTTTTTTACTTTTTCAGTTTTTAGTTTCTAAAACTCATTAATGATATACAGGAAGATATTGAGATCATAGCCAAACTGGGGTTTGATGCTTATCGATTTTCCATATCATGGTCTCGAATCTTCCCCGGTATGTGCTTCCTTGATGAATTCAGTTTTAACCATTTAGTTCTCTGCATTGTTAGCAGTTGGAGGAAATAACTACTGTTATAATTTTTTGAAGTCCTTTAATACTTTGTTGATAGATAAGCCTGTTTTAATTCACTTCCAAAAATAAACCTGGTTGAAAGAACAAACTTGGTCTTCACCTGACTAGTGCTAAATGAATCTGTGACCTGAAACCTAACCATGATATTTGAAACATACTGCCCTTCCTGCTTCAGTAGGTGAACTATGTGCATATATGTGTGAGTGTACTAATTCACAATTATGCCACACATAAGCTATGCAGTTACTTTAGTTACTTGAATTTAACTGGAAGCTTACTCAACAGATGATGAGTGCAATATTAGATTTTAATTTTCTTTTTGGTCTTCTAGGATATCCATTTTTAAAGTATTTTCTTTTACTTTTTTCCATTTTAAATCTTGTTGTCCCGCTGATGCAGTTTACCCCCCTCCTTCGATGGCCTGACTTCCCCCTGTCTTCCTTTATGTAGTTATATTTACAACTGCTATAATGCTTTTCATTTATTCTTTTATTTTACATGCTGGCAGATGGTTTGGGAACCAAAGTCAACGATGAAGGGATTGCTTTCTACAATAATGTCATTAATGCTCTTCTTGAAAAAGGTATGTGAAGTTGATTTTTTCTTGATTTCTGTCTTGTTGAATCATTAATTCATATTTAACTACTTTGTGTAGGTATTCAGCCATATGTAACTTTGTACCACTGGGACCTTCCCCTGCATCTTCAGGAGTCAATGGAAGGGTGGTTAAATAAAGAAGTTGTGTAAGTATTGCTATCCTCTAAAAATCAATTATTAATGGAAATATGTTCATGAATATGCTTCTCACCCATGACAATTGAACAATTAATGTGTCTGCCAAATATGGTAAACAATGAATGCATCCACTTACTAACATAAATTTTGCGATGACCTCAGCTTCACCCTTTTTTCTCTATTTGAGACTAGCTTATTAATGTGAAAAGGGAAAAGTAGTGATTTCCTTCTGTACTTCTCCTACTGTGCTGTTATATGTCGTGACTTGTAATTAATGTTGCTGCAACTCCTTGCACATGTGTGTTAAAAATAGAATTTTTAAGAAAGATGATTAAGCAGTAGAAACTTGGTTGATCCCCTTTCTAATTCGCCCCTTGTTTGCAAAGAAGGCTATTAGTCAACTACTTGGTTAATAATAAAATCATTTTTCAGAAGTTGATTAATTTCAAGCAGTGTTTGTGCTTTTTGGGTCTCCACACTTTCCTTTTGCTCTGAATAAAATTATCCCATATGCTAAAGCTGAAAGGAGGCTACTGTGGTCTAGAAGGCTTCATGTGATTTAAACATGTAAAAGATTCAGATCCAAGGATTTTCTTTTCTTGTTGGGCAGATGGGGAGAGAAAGAGATAAGGATCAGAGAAGAAGCTGAATCAATATAACATGAAATAAGAAAAATTACCGGATAACAAAAGATACATGGGAAGAAGCAAAATGTAGAAGGAAGAATTTCAATCCTTCCATTCTGTCAGACAAAATTCTCTAGATCACCAAACATGAAAAAAAAGATCTTTTGAATATCCTAAAGCAACCAAACTACCAAAAAGATAAGATTATTCCAATACGCTTGTGATCCAAATGTGAGATGTCCCACTCTGAGGAATTGAGATTTGGGTGAGTTACAGAGGTCATTTTAATTCATTAGAATTTGAGCGTGGAACCTGTTCACTTTTCTGCATGGTATATATGTGTGAGATTTGTGTCCTTAAGTGATTGTAGGTGCTTATTTACCAGGACCAGGAAATCTGGTGTATGGTAGCTGCCTATTTAATTGTGAGTTATATAGTACAATTGCTGAAAAAAGATGTGGTTATGTGTACCTTGTGCACTTCAGTATAACAAACATAATAAATTAAAAAACATTTGCATCATTCATGTGACTTCAGTAGCAACGTTTACTTAGCTTTGTCACTAATGATCCATGTGATCTTTTTCTTTGCAAACATCCAGAAAATATTTTGCAATCTATGCAGATACTTGTTTTGCAAGTTTTGGTGATAGAGTTAAGCACTGGATCACACTTAATGAGCCTCTCCAAACAGCAATAAATGGTCATGACTCTGGGATTTTTGCACCTGGAAGACATGACCAACCATCAACAGAACCTTATTTGGCTTCACACCACCAGATCTTGGCCCATGCAGCTGCTGTTTCCATATACCGAAACAAGTACAGGGTATGATGCAAATTGTTTCTTGTTTGAACTAATCATTTTATCTTCTCGATAAATCACTTTCATTTACACTATTCAGTTTTGTATTTTTATCTGCATTGATTATTGCATTGATTATTGCATTCTTTTGCATTATCCAAAATGTTCTTGAACTGATTGTGGTATTCTAAACAGAGTGTTAGTTAATGTAAATGAAGCTAGTGTTTCCGTGTGTACCATCTGAGTATCAAATCTGTTGTTATTCGGCTTCACTAAAAGTTTCACAACATCATTTGCTGAAGTAATAAAATGAGCTTTTTTCTTATTTGTATCCTCTTTTTTTTTTTCCCTCCACGAAGCTTTGAGGTATTATTAGATATCCAAACACAAATGTTTTTATCTTCCAAGAAAATAGCAATAGGTGAAACTACTTAATACATGGTCAATAAAGATGCTGGACATTGGCCATTTATTAATGTTGTAGGGCAAGGTTCTTGTTTGTCACTGGCATTTGCACTGCCTCATCAGTTGAGAAATGAAATTGTTAAGAGGGAAGAATCAGTTAAAATTTATGTCAATTGCTTTTTTGTTTTTTAAATCATTCAAAGCTTGACAGATTGCTGCTGCTGCTGATATCTTATTCAGGACAAGCAAGGGGGAGAAATAGGATTGGTCGTTGACTGTGAATGGGCAGAAACTGGTTCAAACAAAACAGAAGATAAAGTTGCAGCATCTCGACGCCTCGAATTTCAGCTTGGATGGTAGTTCTTGTTGCTACTTTTTAGGTTAAAAATCAGCTATGTTAATGGTTGCTGAACTATTTACTCTTTCAGACTCACACTAATGCATGATTATTGAGTTATGCAAGCACGTTATTACATTGTTTTAGGGGGGTGAGTGAGGAATGATAAGAAGCTGTAAAATATTATTATCCAACCTCTTCATTATCCCAAATTTTAAACCCCAAGCAGTTGTTTTCTGTTAGAGTATCTAACTCACCAGGCTTTAGACCATGGCAATATAGTAGCCACTTAATGATTATCCTGAATGGTTCATTCATGCCCAAACGCTTGCAAAATGTTGTAACTTTTGGAATCTTTAGCCACTTAAGTGCTATTTACCTTTTACTGTTTCCAACAGGTACTTGAATCCATTATATTACGGAGACTATCCAGAAGTTATGCGTGAAATACTGGGAGAACGGCTCCCAAAATTCACGGAGGAAGATAAGGAGTTGCTTAGAAACCCAATGGACTTTGTAGGTCTAAATCATTACACTTCAAGGTTCATAACTCATGCAACAGAGAGCCCTGAAGAATCCTATTACTATAAAGCACAATCGATGGAGAGAAGAGGTAAGTCACTATTACCTGCAAGCTTATTTCCAACTTTTTCATGCTTAATTTTCTCATTTCTAACTGCTGTTGGCTATCATCAGCTGAATTTGAAGGGGGCGAGCCAATTGGTGAGAAGGTATGACTCTCTTGCTTGCATGTATGCACACGTGCGCGCACACAGACATTTGCACACATGTCAAATATCCTTTCTTCCAGTCTGATGATGATTTTTTTTTCCCCTAATGACAGGCAGCATCAGAGTGGCTTTATGTTTGTCCTTGGGGACTCCGGAAGGTTCTCAATTACCTAGCTCAGAAATACAACAATCCCACAGTATATGTTACAGAGAATGGTATTTTCTATGTGGTGTTAATGATATCTTTAGTTATTTTCGCACTTCAAATATTATACCACCTTCTTATTTGTGTTTGGCGAGACACAACCTTAGAATCTTATAAGTTGGGATATAGGATTATGGTTTACCAGCCAGAGAACTTTCTTTGTGCATTCTAATCTGCTATTTCCCAAATGGAGTCTTGAACAAAATAAACCAGCATCAATATTCTCTTGAACCTCACTGTACTTGTTTTGACAGGTATGGATGATGATGACATTGATGCCCCACTTCATGAAGTTCTGGATGACAATCTGAGAGTTCGCTATTATAAAGGATACCTTGCTTCAGTTGCTCAGGCAATCAAGTGAGTTGCTAACTATTTTTATGTCATAGACCTGAGTGTATTGATTGATGTGTTCTCATATTTTTGCGGTGTATTGGAGATCGATGCCTAATCAAGTACATGTAGGAGTTTTTGCAATTGTCATTGACGTTATAAATCAAATCAAAATGAGTTGCATATTGAATAATTTGTTAATAATGTCTGTAACGGTAAAGAAAGAATAATCAGTCTTGTTTATAAACTGCACCAACAGGGATGGAGTACAAGTGAAGGGATATTTTGCATGGTCATTACTGGACAACTTTGAGTGGGCTCAAGGTTATACCAAGCGTTTCGGTTTGGTGTATGTGGATTACAAGAATGGGCTCTCTCGGCACCCAAAATCTTCTGCTTATTGGTTCTTGCGGTTCTTAAAAGGTGTTGAAGGGAAAAGCGGCAAAGAAGAGTGATGGACGGCATGTATTTATGCTGCTAGTAGAAAGAATAAACTCCTGTTTTTAAGCAAGCATCAATGAGCTGCAAAACAGGATTATTGAACTAGCCAGCCTGATATAATCCTGTCTAGTCAGAGTATTGTTTGATTTCAACGAAGGGACTTCTTATGTGCTTCTTTTATGTCTGAAACTGCATCTCTTAGTTAATCAGACGTCTTATGGTTAACTGGTTCACGGCTAGCTCTTCCTTGCTATTTCTTGCCAGCCAAAAAAAAAAAAAAAACCAGCAGACGTTATGCATGGCTATGCTGCTGCAAAATACCATTATTCGTGCATGTTAACAAAATTTAAAAGACTAATCTGCCTATTTATTCTCAAAGAAGGTTTACTTATACATTGCCATCACATTTCTCTGCGGAAGGTAAGAAGACATCTCTGTTTTCCCAAAAACCCTAGGTATGATTACATAGGATATGGATTTGGACCCTCAGAAAATATATATTAGAATGAAATCGCGGCTCTCCTTTCTTTTTTTCCTACACTGATAATTTGATTTTATCAAGAATCGGTCGCCTATATGTTGCGTGAAACAAATCAATGGGACAACAAAGGTTACGAAGAGATGGTGTTTCTAGGATTAGAAAACTTGAGAAGACTGCCGGTTCTCAAAACCTAACTGTATTAACTAACATTTATCTTTGCTTTTTGACTTTGAAAGGGCATTGAGTCAATAAGTGAAAAAAACCGAGTGGTGGCATATACTTGTAAATATGAGTGCACTAATGTTATGTTATTGATTTTTTTTTCACAAAAGGGAAAAGGTGAAAATGTGCATTATAATATACAATGATTTATCGAAAGATAAAATACCCAAAAGATTGGATTTAATTACCACAGCTGCCATGGTTTGTATTCGATGCGCTAGTTTCGGGAAAGAAGCGTAAATAACCAGACGACTAGTCGTCCGCGTGAAAAAGACGAGCGAAGCATAAAATTGAAGGAGGCAGTGAGTGTGAGAGAGGTACTGCATTATTATTATTTCCTACCTGCAAAAAACACAAGATCGTCGCAGTCGCCCACACAAACTCAGGTAAGAAATAAAAATATAATCCACTATTTCCATCTTCTTCTCCAATGATTATTATTATTACTACTTCAATCTTTACCAGGTATGAAATTAGGGTTTCTAAGTTAAGTTTTTTTTTTTTGTGGGTCATTCAAAAACGTTGACGTGCTAACCTTATTTAGGTCTTTAGTTTGTCAAATGTATGATTGTTTCCTTTTTGGCCTTCCTTAATGTGTACGTTGCAGAAAAGTTGAAAAAAAATGTCGAGTGGAGGAGAGAAGGGATCGACCACCACGAAAACTCCTGCTGATTTCCTCAAATCTATACGCGGCCGCCCTGTTGTAGTCAAGCTCAATTCTGGGGTTGATTATAGAGGTCTGTCGTTTTCTCTTTGCTTAATTTACAATCTGTGCTCTCTATGTATAACTTCATCTGTAAAGTCTTTTTTTCTTTCTTTCTCTTATGCCCTTTTCTGCTCGTTTTACCTATCTTACAACATGGATGCAATGGTGGCATTTTATCTAAAATACAGCTACCTGCCTTCTTGCTTTCCCAGAAAACGGTTTTTTTTTTCTTTCATATTTTTAATTAAGTGTCACGCTCTGGAAATTGATGTGTGCTGTTCTTGAATATTGAAACTTAACCCCTACAACAAAACTCACATGGAATACTACTTGAGCCACATCCACATGGATTCTAATATGCTTCATGTCACGCTATAGATATGTACAACAGACCAGTGGCCATTGCTCATCACTGCAACATATCTGTGAACTAAAAAAGTCTGCTACTCTTGAGTGAACCACTAGTTTTTCTGTAAAGTCATGCCATGGTATTGATGAGGAGAGGATTTTCAGGATGTGTTTATATGGTATAATGACCCTAATAATCATATGTCAAATTGTTATGATATTGCTTGATCTTCAGCTGGATCTCCCAGAGCATGCTCTCTCGCATATCTTTTTTCTTCCATGGTTATGCTTATTATTACAAGCAATTTTCTTATGTTCAGGTATTTTAGCTTGTCTTGATGGGTACATGAACATAGCAATGGAACAAACAGAGGAATACGTAAATGGCCAACTGAAAAACAAATATGGTGATGCTTTCATCCGAGGAAATAATGGTAGTAACCTATATGACTTTTTTTCTTCCATGTAATTTCTTAACTGTCTTCAAGGATTGCATGATGATGATCATATTTGAACTCTGTTGATGCAGTCCTGTACATCAGCACTTCAAAGAGGACACTTGCAGATGGTGGATAGTCACAACAATTGCTTGAGAGTATCTTCAAATGTTACCGGTTTGCTAGTGCAGTGCAGTGATTGTGATTCTAGTTACTGTGGATTATAAATTAACAGTGCTAGTTTAAATTTTATCGTAGCAAACTAAACTTTTCTGTATCAAGAATTTTACCCACGCTAGTTTCACTCCTCAAATATAATTATCAATTTGACACTCAATTTGTCAAGGAGGGATTGAGGAAAAGATTGATGAAAGGCGAGGGATTGTACTTGTTATCTGGGTGTAAATAAAGATTGGAGAGATCGTTTCTCGCTTGTAATTTTCAATCCTGTCAATTTGAGCGTCATTTACCTTACTAATTTTAAGTTTTCTTGATTTGATACACCCACCCTACCTGACTTGATATTCATGCAGTAAAGGCAATCCAAACTCTGGATTATATTTGCTACTTTCATGTACTTTTATATTGCCTTTCAGCGAAGAGCTTTCCATGACATCCCTAATCCTCACTAGTATTTTAATCTCTGCAAAGCATATGATTTTAGTAATAGTTAGACCAATTGGTGGAGGTAATTGCATGAAAATGAATAAACTAAACGTTCTTAAAATTGAACTAAATTATATTAGGATACATGAAAGTAATCGCAACATTACCAATAGATGAAGGAAAACACAATCGTATATTTCCCATTTAGCTCACAAATACAAGACCACACACCAAAAGATTAATTTGTCAATATTGCTGCTAGTAAATTAAAATGAAAATTATTTCTTAGTAGAAACTAGCACTCAAGTGTACCTGTCATGTAACAAATTGCACGGTGATTGTACAGGCAAACAAATAAATTAGCATCTTCAATTGCACTGTAAATATGTTACACGTATTTACACACGATCCACGCTACAAAACTCTACGCCATCGTTAAACTATCAGCTACACCAGCTAAATATAAAGGAAATAATTTAGAGAAGAAATAAATAGGATGGAAAGGGAGACTAAAAATAACCCTGCTCGTTCGAAGCATTAGCTGAACTAGACCTACATTGACCTTATCAACTGTTTCTGTCTTTCCTACCGAGATCAGAAGTCTGATTTCATGAGCTTTGCTCGTGGCTTTACATTGATACTGTCGAAGGGTTTCAACTGTTCTACATGGATGTAATCCCTCGTTTTAAGAACCTGCAAAAGCGTAAATGCACATCATCAATAATCATCCGAGGGGGAGAGGGGATCCACCACCACAAGCTGTGAATAACAGATTGATAACACTAGAACAAGAAAATCATCTAACATTTTAGCATATTCTTCATTGTTTTATTTTCTTGATTAATCTTTTCACATGCAAACCCCTATTAAAATGTCTTGGTCCTTGCACAGCTCCAATCTCTATATTATGTTGGCACTGCTAAAATTTAAAACAGCTTGCTACTGTTTATACTAACAAGTCCTTACCGCCTCAAAATTTAGAAAAATCCATGTTAACCCAGTCAAAACCCTTATCCAACTCCTTTAACAAAAACTTTTCTAAACAACAGAACTTCAAAACACAACAAGGTGTTTACTGCAATCCAAGTGTGAAACACATACCAAAGTTTCAAAGAACATTCTTGATGCCTCCTTCCGTGTTTTACCAGCCAGAAGGCTGTCCACTGAAATAACCTTCCTTCCATTTCCACCTTCATTATCAAATATAGTCTGAAGGTACTTGGCAACAGCTCTACAAAAGAGAGTATATCAATTTATCAGGAATCATTAAACTTAATTTTTAATTAGAAATGCACAAAACATAGAAAACAGTGGACTGAAAAGTAAACAAATAATCTTGACAGCCTGCGTTTTCAAGGATTAAACGGGAAAGCCATTGTCTAAGCTCAGAAAGATTATCAAATGATCCTAATCATCATAACTAGGAAACATCCAGCAACATCTTCAAGAATCTGCAACAAATAGATAATTTTCACCCTTTATAGTAAAGAAAGGATAGATAGTATTAAACTGTTTACAATTAATTTCCTTAACAGAGATTGCAATGCAAAAAATCCAGGGCTTTCAACTAAAATCCAAGTCTTCAATGTCATCAAGTTTCCCTAGATATGCTACCCATGCACCAACACTTGCCAAAAACCAGTGTCCCACTCTGTAAAGCAACCCAAACAAGCTTAGAGGTAAAAAGAAACGCTTTGGAAAAAGAGTGCAGCCTCAGCCACAGTATGCTGCTTTACTCCCTACAGCTCAAATAAACTTCCCAAGAAGAGAGGAAGGGGAGGGCCAAGTTTTCAACACATTAATCAGGTGGATATCATATACCTATCAATTTGACCACATAATGTCTAGGCATAATCTCAAATACCATGTACAGCAGAACACACAAGCCAGCATGCCAACGGAAATTGTTGTCCTAGATACTTCATGAATGTACACAAACAAACAATAAATGCACACACAAACAAAACTTTGTTTCCATATCATCCAGGAAGATGTCATATGAACCCGGACCCCTCGAAGCACACACCTGGTGCGGGAAGACCATCCACTATTGTCAAGAAGGCGGGCATCTTCAGGACCTGGCATGCCATCATCATCATCTTCACCCATATCATCATCTACGTTCAAAAATTCTGAAAAGAAAATAGACCAACGACCATTAACAACAGAAACTCAAGATAGCATACGCAAGCAGGAGAGAATTCTTACAACATGAAATTTGGTTCACTGCAGGAACACAGAATCAGCAGTTAATTGGGTTGAATAAAAATAAAAAAGATGATCTAAAACACTGTAAGTCCCAAATAAGCTTCGATATCAAAACCTAAACAATTTTAAATTCCTCAAACCTCTGAACATCTTTGCTTGAGCTCCTTGTTTGCATCACTGTCATAACAGGGGAATGGCTTTTTGCAATTTATTTAGACATTTCATATCCTAACAGAAATGATGGTCGCAGATAATTTACCAAACACTAAAAATTGAGGTAGAGATTTCTTC